AGGCTGTAATATTTGGTGAAAAGCATCATTCAAGTGGATTATAGTGGATAAGATTCACGGATTTATCAATATTTGATGACCATTTAAAATTTATCACTTAGTGAAGAAAATGATCAGTCGTAATGCACTGTTCTTTTTTGTTTTTAGTGGCTTATTTTTCTAAGCGATTAAGAAAATAAAAATTATTAATATCATCAGGAAGATCCACAAAATCCTTATCTCGAAGTTAGTTATGCGGTAAAAATAGCATGAATAATCGACCCAGATCATAACATCTCATCTGCACTTGGCGTGTTAAATTGAATTTCACCTTACGTAAACTGAACTTTGATTTTTTTAAAGATTATACCAAAATAAATCAACAATTGACTGCTTTACAATTTAGGACTTTTATTATTTTATAATTGACATCAGATGACAATTTAGTATGAATTTATAAAATTCCATTTCCACTGTTTTTTAGAAAAATATAAAATATTGGAACAGTGCCACAGAAAAGGAAACTTTTGTCTCATCTGATTCTCTCAAATCTGAGAGATAAAGTTTGATTCTTTCTTCTTTCTTCTAACATTTCATACTATTTCTGATTTGGTTACCTTTAACTATATCTCTTCGCCAGAGAGTTAGTTGTAAATAGAATTACTACTGGGTTTCCAGCTCCACCAGGATGTCATTTTTTAAAGATAGGCTCTCAAGGAAATTGAATTGAATTTATGATTTGACAATGATAAAAACAACATGCCACTCGACCAATCTGTCCTCTAATAAATTATTATATTAAATTATTATTATATGCTTTAAATTATTATTATATGCTTTTTGCATATTATTAAATATTATTACTATTACTATATTATCGTTTTGTGGGGAAAATAATAAAAAAAATTGAAATCACAAATCTTAATAATCCATTCCGAATAAAGCGAACGAAATTTAATAATAAATTTAAATAGTATTATTATAATTTAAAAAGAATGGAGGAAAGCACAACAAACACGTTTAATAAAATAAACAATTTTTTGTAGGAGAACAAGTGAGGAAAACTTTCAAAAATTTTAATAAATGGATTTAAATACTGAACAACAAGTAAATTAACAATAGTCTAATAAGCTGAACTAGAGTTCCATGGAAAATTAAGTGATCAAAATGAAGAAAAGCAAATCTAAAAGATAAAACTCCAACATATTTCATCAAAAAAATTCCTTCTATTCGTCGTGTTAGAATTTATTAGGGATAAGACAATAGAATTAAGGCGAAATATTATTTAATTTTGGTTTTATTTAACATTTCATTTTCTGTTTTTATTAGAAACCACTTTTAGCAATCTGCATCAAAAAATTGATTTTACAATAGTTTCATTAATTTTTGTTTCGATTTTAATAATCGGTGATTTTTATGAAAAGAAAAAAGTCAAAGTTTCTTGCGCATGAACTGCTCTTCTAAAAAATGGCGATTTGAAATGATCATTTTAAGCGGTTTCTGCAAAAAGCATCAAAATGTTTATAAAAAGGCCTTTTCAGAATTTTTCTGCATACTACTGGTACATAGAATGCTAAAAATAAAAAATAGTGAAATTAATTTTAAAAAATTAATTTTTCGCATTCATAGTGAAGTATTTAGGATCGACAAAATGCTAAACGAAAAATGGCGAAGTGACATTATCATTTTTTTATCTCACAACATTTTATTTCATAAATAAAAAAAGAGATCGGGGAAAAATGACTGAATGCTCTATCATTTCGAAATTGAAGTCATTGGAAGTTTGTCTATACGCAAGAGTAGCCAGTCAAATCAGTGAAAAAAGGTAAGACAGTAATTGCCATGGCGGGTTCTCCGGAAATTTGAGGCTTACCCATAAATAAAATAATCGAAAACTCTTAATTCTTAGGTTTGCCAAAGAGAACCCTAAGCAGTGAAGGCGGTTGATCATTGATGATCTTAAAAATATTAGCTTTGCACAGTCGATTTTTTCCTGCGTTATGCAGCATTATTTGTATAAAAAAATTAATTTTTCGCATTCTTAAATTTGTAATCAGCGAAGCTAGCTTAATCAATAATCATAATCAGTAATGGTGAAAGTTGTTAGAAGAAGAAGAATGCAGTCTAAAGCAGATCTTAGTCTAAATAGAGGAGTTTTAATAGAGTTATTTTCATTTCTATTAACGGATTAAAATTCCGTTTGAAAAACCTTTCAGGAAGTTTATGGTTACAAAATAGTTTTTACGTGACATCTAAAAACGAGAATAATTTTTGTGCGAAATTTTTTAAATATTGACGAGCCATTGTCCTAACCTGGAAAAGAACCAATTTTTATCTCATCAACTTTATTCCCACAAATCTTTTTGCAGCAAATGGTTTTCACTCCAAAATATTTTTGCAACAAATAAAAAGATAAAAAATACAAATATTTTTAATAATTTGTGGCTGAAGAAAAATAAATAATTTAGAAGCTTAAAAATAAGAAATACGAAAATAAATGAAATAGGAAAAGTAAATGAAAATAAAAAATTCGCAAGGAATTTTTCATTTCATAAAAAGAAAAGAAATTTTTCGAAAAATTTTTTATTTTTTTACGCCACTTATAGGTCGATTCATTTTTTTGAAAAATTTTTTCATTTTATTTTCCCCAATTTTTCCACAAAAATTTTTGCAAATTTTTAAAAAAAATTTTTTTTGGATGAATTTTGCAGAAATATGGAAATTCAAAATTTTTCAAAGTTATTGTGAATTTGACCCCTTCGATAATTTTAAAAAATATGTCAGATATGTTCGTCAGTAGTGAGGTCGGATATTTGTTATTATGCATTTAGTTGTTCTATTTCTAAGCACTGATAATAAGAATATAATTCGTTATCTAATCGTACTCACCATTTCTGCTTCGGCCAGGTCCACTGGCAGTTAGGAAATTACCAAATGGTTCAGACTGTGTTGAGAGACAAAAGACTTCTTGTTCTGCTGCAGGGGTAAACTTGCCACTTAAAAAAAATCGTGGCCATAAATTCTAACCACATTAACGGCTAGCAAAGCGAGCCACCAGAACTGGAAAGCACTAGTCACTTATTTATTGACAATAGGCGACATCGCTACGTCAGAGAGTCACTTAATGGAGAGCAGGATTGTAAGTGAGTCTCAGAAACCATCTGAAATCTCGCCAAGCGATGTGAATCCAGTCTATAATGGCTTGACTTGAGTCGAAACGTGTATATAGCAATCCACGGACTTGCACGACAATAAGTGCCATTCGCCCTAACACTAAAGCTAATGCAAAAAGCGATTTAGTCATCAATAATCCACAATTCTTTAAAAAAAAGTAATCAATGAAATATGAATCTTCATTTTTGTTCCTTATTTCGCTAAATTTGATATTTCTCTTCCTTTACATAGCACTTAGGTTGGACACGAATTTAAATTAACACGAATTTAAATGACTTCTTTCACGTTTCAGCAGAGCGCATAGTTGGTTAGCCTGGTTTCTCGCTGACTCTTCTCCGTGGCCCTCCTCCAAATCTCTCGGTCCTCTTTTTTAATTGACTCGAGTCATTTCTTATAAAATCGAAGAATTCGTGGAAAATTTCGCGATATTACTAGCTTGAGTACATTATAAGCTTGGTAGCGAACAGATGAAGTCATAAATTCACCACATTCAATCAAAACATTTGAGGTGCTATGAATACCACAAACAGAGCCAACCTATGTTTCGCGAAATGCCCAAATAGTGACCTTCTCAGAAGTTTGACGATGAAGCTAAAATCAAGACCAACTCATTTTTATTAACCACCTTGTAATCAAGCCTGTTTTTTTCTATTCCATCAATTTTCTCTTTAACCTTGTTGACTACTTGCAATTTATAATGGTACCACTAGGTATTATTCCTAAATTTTTATGAAAAGAGTATTTTGTGGAACTTTATTTTCTGGATATTTCTCCATTAACAAATAATTATCACTTATCAGAGAAATAAACATATGTACGGTTTTTTCTTCCTTTCTTTGTAGTTCTTTGTGTTTCCTCATTAACAAATAAATTCAACGCCATTTCGCATAACTGACAATTAGTAAGATTTCTTTCACTTTCATTTATTGAATTTTATAAAAATTTTCAGGAAAAAACGTTCAAAATCTTCTACTTAAAAAGAATATTTAAATAACATTTTTAATAAAAACATTTAAATAACTGAATAATTCTCAGTGAAGTTTTCGCATTTCCTTAATATCGTTTTCTCTTTTGTTGTTTTTATCTGCGTTGGTCCGATACGCGACTCAGCTGGCTACGGACCAGAGCCCAGCCAACCCCGAGCCAACCCTTGGCCGACCTCGGGCCACCCCTGGGCCAACTCCTGGACACCGCCACATGGACCGCAATAATGAGCGACAACCGTCACTGTCATTGCTTGCACAAGAGCTCGACAACAACTATCGATTAGTCGTTCATAAAACGCGAAAGTGGTTTTATGCGTCGCGTTCAACACCCGCCCTAAACATTTTCAGATTACTGTATTGTTCTATTCTCACGTAGAATGAATATTTTTATTTTTATAATTTTTTCTTTCCAGTTTTTCAGCTTTTTTTGCGCGATTTTCGCTTATTTTGCGCGATCTGCCCAATTCTTTTGGCGTTTTTCAATTTTCATTCTTCAAAAAGCAATTTGTTTGAAGCAATTGTATTTCAATTGTAATTATTCCAATTTTAGTAAAAATCATTAGTAAATAAAATGCGACATTTTATTTTATTTTCAGTTTTCCTTCCTTCTGTTATTTAAAAATCTGCTTTGATTTGATGATTTAGAACTCAATTTTTAATCTTATTGATATCATTTTGCGTGAACACACGTCACGTTTACGGAAAACCTTCCTCTCCACCTCACGTAGATTTCGAAAATTTTCAGGAAAAAATAAGAATTAGGTCGATTTTCGTGATTTATTTTCACGATATTCTGCTTTATTGTTGTTACGTGGGGAAATGCGATTTCACCCACGTGGCATATGCTAATTGACGTTTATAATGGCTGTAATGAGCAACGACAGCAAATTATCGTCATTTATCGCACAGAATGCCAATTTCTCTGATGTTCTTCATTCAGGTAATCTTTCCTTAAAATATTTTAACGCCCGTTTTATATTAATGTTTTGCTTATGTCACGCAAAATTCACGCCAAAATCCCGCTTACTTTTATTTGATCATCTTGATGATCGTACTTTTTGCATATTTTTTACCTTCGTTTCCTGTCGACGAAAAAGTGGTTTTCGTTTCGAGATAAAATATTTTAAATTTTTCCCTGATTGTTTTCTTTTTCATATATTGTAGCGCCATACTTAAATACAATATGACCTGCACATAAGAATCAAAGACCATGGGGTCAATTTTTGTTCCATTTTATTTAGATTTCTAATTTATTTACTCATACATTTGAATCATTTTTGAAAAATTTTAAAGCATTACTTAACATTTACAAATGTTTAAAAAATTTTTTCGGACTTTCTCTGCATTATTAATTTAAAATTAATAGCGACAAAATTTCAGAGTTTCGTTTTAAATTTATTTCTTTTATAAAATATAATAATAAATACAATAAATGAGTTGTTGTTTTCGATTAATTTAGGTTGATTTATGTAAATGAATTTAGTTATTAATGACAGAAAAAAAGACGTTTTAAGTAAAAACTTGGACATCAGAAGAAAGAAATGGTAATAAAAACGATAATCGAGATGTTTTGGAACGAGAAATTGCTAGAGAAACCGTTACACCGCCACCAATCCTCGACCTTTATAGTCGTGATGAGCCAAATGAAACTTGTGTAACGCCCGATTCAGTAATCAGTTTGATATTTATTACTGGGTTCATTAGCCAATTTGTTGAGTACTATTCCAGTTCATTTTTGGAGAAAGACTTAAAAAAATAGTGAAAATCTTTATTAAAGATTTTTAAGTTTTAAAGATTTTTAAGATTGAGAAGATTGAGATTAAGATTGAGAAAAAAAAATAGATAAATTCATATAGTATCTTAATTTATCATTTTCATTTACCATTTTCAAGGAATAGCAATATTTTTTTGGTATTCATTGTCTTTTTATTAGGCTGACTGCTTCGATGAAGATATGTCTGCTCCAGCAATCCTTTTCAATGAAGTGGCATCCGTTTTTCTTCAAAACGATGTTCCACCGAATCTTCTGCCTAGCGAGGCTGCTTTATCTGCTTTTGAAAATGATTCAATTTTTATGGATTCGGGTGAAAATTCTTCAGTTTTGTCTCAGTGCTCAAAAAATATGGTTTCTTTTTATCCTGATGATCAAAGTGTTCCAGTTATAACTGAAAGTGAGGGTGAAAAGTCAGAAGATGCATCCACTGTTCACGTGGAATCAACAGTAAAGAGAAATAATTCGGGAAGAAAGCGTAATCATCGTAATGTCGATGTTACAGTGGTTCATTTTTTATTGATTTACTTGTTTTATTTACATATAAAAAAGTTTTCATCAAAAAATGAAATTATAAAATTATGAAATTATTAAAGTTGCAATTGCAATTAAAGGAGTATTTCAGGAGTCTTCGATTTTGCCAATTAAAGGAGATTTCTTCGATTTTGCCAAAATAAATTCAATATCAAAATAATTTAAAGCAAGTGGAACTAATTTAAATTTTTTAGTTGCGGCGTTCTTCTCGTAAAAGTATCCCTACATTAAGAAAAGACCATTTTTATGATTATTCAAGAAATGGCATCAGATTTGGAATTTCAAGTAATTTATTTTTTTTAGTCAATTTGACTTTGTTTTCCAGTTTTTTGGAATTGTATTTATAATTGAACAATGGTTATTTCATCGGAGGTAATGTGTATTATATCTTTTTGCTAGATATAAATGCCAGTGAGAGATGTTTTCATCGAGATATGAAACTGTTGTGACTATTTTTCGGTTTTATTTGTTATTTCTCTTCCAGTAAAATCTTTTTTCAGAAAATAAAAAAGATGTGAAATCATTGCCTTCACTTGCTTCTCTAGAAAAATGCGATGCTGGTTCGAGCGGAGCGAAACGTCAGTCTTTATTATTTAGATTAAATAAAAATTCAAAATTTTTAAATCTTTCGTCGCTCTATATTATTCATTCGAAAATTCTTTCATATTTTTTTTTGCAGAAATGGATGAAGAAAAAGAAGAGGGATATTATATTGGACCAGAATATCAAGCTGTTTGTCCGGAATATATTTCCGAATCCTGCAGGTGCATTATCAGTGTCTATTTTCATGATTTTAATTAAGCATTACTGAATAAATTATATGGCCAGTAAATAATTTTAAGTTATAAATTATTTTAGTGGTGATATGCAAGATAGAGATGTAACTTTATGGAAAAGTGATTGTGGTAAACTTAATACAAACGATTTAGGCCAAGTTTTAGAAGTGGCGCGCAAGCAATATATGCTTGAATATGACAAGGTTTTTTTGCAATAAATTTCAGTTAGTCCTAGTTTTAAGGAAATTTGATTTTAATTTTAGATCTATGCTTTGAACTCATTTTATTAAAGACAAAATTTTTTTCGAACCAGGCTGTTCCATATTATGTCGAACACAAATTATTTATATGAATATTTTCAAACATAATATATTCTAAGTTATATCAGAAATATCGAAACAATGAAAGTTAGTTAATTCTATAATTCACTTCAATTTTAAGACTTATGAATTAATTTATCAATATAATATGGATCTACCGCAAGTATTGGTGCATATAGAGAATCACTTACCGGAACGAGAAAAAGAGTTTTGCAAGATGGAAAAAAGGGCTTACCAGCGACATATTACGAGAAAGACAAAAAATTTTACCGGATTGCATAAAGCGGTTAGGAAAAGTCCAGTATTTTAAATAAATTTCTCGGCTGATTGGACTTATTCTATTAAGTTTTAAGTTTTAAGTTTATTCTTATTTTATTGTCACTTATGAGAAATGATCGCTTGCAAAAATGGAAATGAAATTTATATTGCTAACTATAATACTAATATTCCAGTTACAACAGAAACGTTCAATGCTTTCGATAATCAATTATTACTATAAAACTAAGAAATTCACTTGTTTCGGCAAAGTTTCCAATGTAATTTGTCCAGATGCAGCGAAGTCTGTTTTATAGTTTTATAGCATAAGCTTTTACAGTTTTTTGGTGCAATTTTTTTGAATTGAATTTTTTTTTTAGAAAATCAAATTAGACAAATTTAAACAAACAAATTTTACAAATTTAAACAAATTAGCTGGAAATTTGCTGAATTTTGATTCATAGCATTTTCCATTTTTTTATTCTTCACAGGAATACCGCATAAAAATTCATATTTTTTGACAATTAATTTTAGTATGTATGATGAAGAACCAGTTATAAATCGGAGAATGTGTTATAACTGCACAATTACACGAGGAACTGGGCTGCACGATCCCATACAACAATACTGTGATGTTTGTAAACTCTACTCTAAGTTAGTTTATTAGTTTATTTAGTCTAGTTAGTTTTTTCAATTTTTTTAAGATCATGTTTGATAAATTACTGGTTTCCCGAGCGTTATTTCCAAGTTCCAAGAAATTTTTTTTAAGGCTTACGCGGAAACTTCGTCCTATATTATATCCGGTTGAAGAAAAAACAGGTATATTTTTTCTCATTGATATCATAGCTAATTATTCATATTCGTTATTATTTAATATTTTATAAATAAAAATTTTCTGTTACTTTGTTTCATTGAATTGGATCATGTGCATATATATGGTTAACTGTAATCTCGTAAATATTTTATCTGCGATAATTTTATCATTAAGCAATTTTTCCGTAAGATTTCGTCCACTCGTTTGTTTTTTCTTTTTTTCAACATCTTATAATAGTTTTAGCGGATTGCGAAGAAGGCATGGAAAGAAAAATGTTCAGTGTTTTATCAACAAGGTTTCTTTTTTATTGTTTTATTTTTATTTTATTGTTTTCATTTGCATTCCCTCGTTTTTTTTTATTTTCCGACTTATGTCATATGACTTATGTCAAAGACTTTTATTTTATTTCTCAATGCAGCTCGAACGATAAATCTCACAGATGTTCTTACTATACCAAAGAGTTGACGGAAAAACGATGGGAAGTTTTCGATATTCAGTTTTGTAACGAGAAAAATATGTTTGATATATTACAAGGTGATTTCCAATGTTTGCAATAATTTTTACGGTATTTCAAGCATATTTTATTTTTGACAAAATTTTTTTTAATCCAAAATCTCTATTGTAAATCTCTATTACAGGGTTTCTTATATATGGTAGTAATTTCCAAGCGATTGCTGATCACCTAAAGAAGTCTGTCTCATACGTAGAAAATTTTTATAATTGTCATGCAATATCAAAACGCCTCGATTATGTATGTTTGTTGATCATAATTGGACATATATTCATCTGTCTTAAAAATTATATTGATAAATAATTTAATTCTTGGAAATTATTGTTTTTGGATAGGTTAAATGTACTATTTGCTCTGTTTCTGTTACCGCTTTTTTTTACCATTTTATTTGGTAAGCTCCATATAAATTTGTTGGCAGAAAGTTATTTCTTTGCTTCTATTTTTAGCTTATTAGTCGGCACAATAAGCAAGTCCGTGCAGTCGTAAAGAGGTTGACTTCAAAGCAAAATAGTCTAAATCCTAATTCAAGCCAGATAAATATGGAAAAGCAAGAGGAGGGCCAAGAAGTGAAGAAGAAAATAGTAAAAGCAAGACGAAAGCGTAAAGCATTAAATCGATTATATGAAACGAGATCGAAAAAAGCTAAATTCAGTAACTGGGAAAGATGCGAAGTTACTCTTGTTCCAAGCGAAGATCATTCTTATGGAAATTTGGAAGTTCCAGTCCCAGAATCAATGAATGAGCCATCAGAAGTGCAGTCGAATTTTACAAGAGAAAACAAACAATATAATAATCCTTTTCACGAAAGCCTTTTCGAAAAAAATGAAGTTAGCAAAAGTTCAGAATCTGAGATATCTGACGAAAATACTGCAGAAGATTCACCGCCTTATTTTTATCCTCAAGAATTTTGATTTCAGGGAGTTAATCTACAGGCTTGATTTAATTTATTTGTAATCAATGTTTCTTATTCGTTTATTGAGGATATTTTTTATTTCAATTTTTTTGAATTTTTTACTTTACTATTTATAAAGCCTTTTAATTATTTCGATATTGAAATATCTCCTCTTCAGTCATTCTTTAACTTCGCTAACGGCAATTTATACGATAATTTTTTCATCAGAGATTGAAATAAAGTTAGTTGCGATATCACTTTGTGCTTTTCCTTTTTATCTTTCTTTTACTTTCCTATTTTTGGCGGTTTTTTCTTTTTATTCATAGGATTACGGTGATAAGAATTTTTCCCTTTTTAAAACTATGGAAATGCTTAATAATTCGTGTTTGAATAGGTGATTTCAATAGTAAATTAATTAATTAACAACGGGTTATGCTATTTCATTTCAAGTTGTTCGTTCTCTTCTTATTCGAATATTTTTTTTATTTTTGGATATATATATTTCTCATCATCCAAATTTATATTGATTCATATCTAACTGAACTAATAATGATGCTATATATCTTGCGTTCAAATGTAATTAAAGTTTTGGTGGCTTTACCATAATTTTGCATTTTCTTTGTACTTTTCCCTAAAAATGTTAATATTATTTTCACAAGATTAATTCTTATATATTATATGAATGTTATATGGGTTTTATTTGTAATTAATTTAGAAATTGCTTCAATAAATCGATTCATTTTGTTTTTTTTATATCTTCTTTCATTTTTGTTTTCATTTTCGTATTTTCATTTTACTTTTTGTCGTGAAATAACGAGGTAAGAGATTCATTTGGAGGTAAAAGTCACCCCTGCCAACGTCCACGGGTCCAGCAGTGATGTTCCAGCCATGGATCTAATCGGTCGTTCACAAATTCACAGTAATCTTTCCATCAAAAAATAAAAGATTTTTAACAATTGAAATAAAAAAGATAACTTTAAAGATTTGCCACAACAAAAGGGGCAAGTTTTACGGTCTATTTACGATTGTTGAATTTAATGATTGAATTAAATTCGAATGAAGCAGTAGTTGATGGTTATTGTGAAAAAGGATCTACTCTACATATGGGCGAAATTTTCATTATAGAGTGGGGCTTTTCATTTTTTTCGCTCTTCGATAGTTCCTAAAAGCATTTGTATTTTTTGAAGCTGATAAATTATTTTTAAAAATTACCATGATTCTGAGTGTATCAAAAGGGAAAATTTGAGAATGTTGCATTCGAGAATGAAGGTGTTACAAGAATGTTTATATTAATGGTACAACCACTTGCAGTAATGCTACCATTTATTTTTATCCCACAAAATTTGTTTTTTTTCGTGGTAAACCGGTAAGCCGGATAGCGGATATCTCCGCTTTGATGATTTCTATAGGATTCCTAACTGGTTATAATATAGGCAATTTACTTTTTCTAGTCAAAAATTTAGCGTAATAATATTCGATTGGATTTAGTTCATAAGGCGTTTGTCGAATATTTCAGATCTTGGCATAGCTATGGATGAAAATCTTGGACTTCGACTTCTACTGCAGAATTTTAAGAAAAAAATCTATTTTTTTTTTATAAATTTTCATTAATTTATATAAATTTTATATAAATTTCTGTAAATTTTTTATTTTTCGGGCATTTGAAAACAGAAAACTTTCTTATCAAATTATACGTTAAAATTATACGTTAAAGCATTCGGTCTCTTCTTAAATGTAAAACAATCTGTTATTCTCCTAAACACCGTAAATCAAGTAAATTAATTGGAAAACTCCAGAAATACTTCGTACGGCTCTTCGTCTTTTTAATGGCAATCTTAACTATAAAACAATTTCAAAACCATAACGTAAATTCCCTCTCATTTTATCGAATCAAATAAGATTTAATTTATATAATTTACAATCATAAATTTAATTTATATGTATGAAATTTTATATCAATTCTATATGATTATGTTTATATTTAGATTGTTCCAAATATTGTAATTTTAAGTTAAGTTAAATTTAAATCCAACAAGACCTAATGGGCTTGTCGGAAAAAGAATGTGCAAGTGCGAACGTGAATAAAAATTTTTATTAACATTACACATTATTAACATTACAGTTATGGTAATAAATGAAAATAGTTATTTAGCAGATTTGAAGCAAAAGCGAATAGCGAATAGTTAAGGAGAGTTATAACCGTAAAAAAAGGATGAAGCGAGACGAGGGCGCTGGTTCGTCGATCCTCGAAAATGGCAAAATTCAACACTGTTGGTTCGGAGTGCTCTATTGCCCATCTGAGTGGTTTTTACAAACATTAGTAGATCAAAAGTTATATCAAATTTGTCTATTTTTATCTAAAATATCTTCATAATTGTTGTTTTCGATATATTAATAAAATGCTTTGCAAATTAACTAACAGATGCGTGAACAAAGAAAAGGAAAAACAATTTTGTGTGATTTGCATATTGTTTATGTAAAAAGCTTTTTAAAAATTTGTTTTTTTCCCTTTTTTGAATTTTAAAAAGGCTTTACGAATTCTTATCGTATTATTATTATTTTATTTCTTATTTTCGGTTGTTTCCGATCTAAAATTATTAAAACCTATATGCAAAATTAAACTATGAAATGGATTTATAACTTTTTCATTCGCGCATTAATCACTGGAATAAGCTGTTGAACGACATCTTGTTCTTCTAAAACCATTACTGGTTAAGCTGACTACAATAGTAACACGTCTCAGCTGTCGGACGCCGACGCCATCGCAGGTAGTAATTGAAGCCATTCCTTTTTCCATCCTCTAAGTCCATCGCTGGTTCCCTTATATATTCAAAATCATGCGAATGTTTACAAGTAATTCAGTTCGATTTGTGATATTGTTTTCCTATTGTTATTTCCTATTATATTAGCTTTTAGTCATTTTTCTTTTTTGTACGGTAGTTAATAAAAGCGCATGGAACTTGTCCCCATACTTGGTTGTTTTGATTGTTTTCAAATCAAATTTGTGCCGAGTTATAAAAGAAACTTTTCAGATAAGGGATTTCTATGGCATTCCTATGTTATTTAAGAAGGTAAAGAAGTTATGATAGTATATTAGGGGTTATGACAAAGAAACGGCCAGGCTTGATGGGTTCGAGAGGATTGTTGTTAAAGGTGATATACCAGATTCGGACAGGGGATAGTGTGGCTCAGTGGGTTGTTGCTCAATTAGGAGCGCCGATGTTAAGGTTATATTCCCCACATGAGTGAACTTATTCAAAAATCCGAGTGATGCTGGTGACTCATCTTTTATTTCTATCGCCAAGGGATTCTCTGGCATATTTGTCCAATGCGAAAAGCCAGCGGAGCGAGTCTAACCGGTAATGGTAAGGACTTTTAAAAAAAAAAAAGAGTAGATTTAGAGATAGTTGTTATAAAAAGCAGGTTTGAAAGGTACGAAGTTACGCAGTATCTAAAAAGATTATTAACAACGGATTAGGTTAATGTGGTATTTTGTGGATGGGTTCCAGAGCAAAATAAGTTGATTTGAAGGACGTTATTTCGATCCAGTGTCCGTGTAATAATCGTGCGTGAAATAATCACGTAGCAATTCCAGAAGAGTGGATATATGTGCTGTGCAAAAGTGTTGACGCTAAACGCGTGTGACAAATTTTTTTAAAGCACTTTGAATTTGAATAAGAATAAATATTTAAAGAAAGAAATTTTCATTATTAGATAATTATGAAACAGATATCACCTGTAAAATAAATAAATCAAACAGTAAATCAGTGACGCAGGGAAGATTTATTATTTACACAGAATTTTAAAAAATAAATGTAGAAATTTTTTCAATAAAATTTTCGAATACATTGGTTTAATTGGAAGAAAAACCGAAAAATCTAAATATTTTCGTTATTGATTTTTGTCGATAATATTGTATTCATTGAGGTGGAGATGACAAAATGGAAAAGCTGATAACATATAACATATGACATTTTTCGGGATCACTAAAGTGAAATACGACTGGAGGTGTTACTAACAGATTCGTTTTGCATCCAAATGACGCTGGTTGAAGCTTCATCACAACCAAAGCAGAAATGTGCGCACTTAAATTTTCATCCAATTTCAGTTTTAAAGACAATTGTGTTCTCTGAAAATCTCTGTCAATTTTTTATCACTAATTTTAATCAAATTAAATTAAATGTACATTGAAAAAGTATTGTAATATTTCTGCTTTAAATTTCGTTAGTTATCAATTTTATGCGTATTTTTTTGAGAAAATTCAGAAATAGGATCAGTTCATCAAAAGAAGAAAAAATAAAAGAAATGAAATAACGAATGAAAACGAAAAGCGATGATATGTGAATAATAATTGGATATTGTGAAAAGAGGAGCGACCACCTGGAGAGTGCAGCTGGCATTCGATAATGATATTGATGATGACCTTGTTGTACCGGAACGCCTATATTGCCATCATTTTATGGGAAATATAATTTCAGCCGGCCTATGATGACCTCTTCCGTTTATCTCACCAATTTTACTTTTTCTTTCTGTACTTTTCCTGATGTCTATTTGGTAAAAAGCGAACAAAAGCTGCCATTGAAGAAACGCCGTCATTTATGTTTTTATACTGATAACACTGATAATAATAAATGTACTGGAGATCAACCAATCGATTTTACGATCCACTCGAGAATCATTAAATATTCGTCAGAAAAGTCTGCAGTTACTCAACTAGGCAAAGGGTAAATTTTATGATTTTATCATTTATTAATAAAGTTTTATATTTGTTGAAAATTATTTAGAAAGATTTAATTTAATTAAAGGTTTAAATAAATTTAATTATTACTAATTATTATGGTGATTTTATTAAAATTTTCAAAAACACAATTTTTTCGTTTCTTCAGCGTTTTTTTCGATATATCATTTAAAGTCCAGTGTTATCACTTTTATAAACTCATAGCTCTTCTCATTTCGAAATTCAGCGTAAATTATTGCTTATTTTTCGCTGAACTTTATTTATTATAGATTAAATCTCAATCGCTTTCTAAACATTTTTCTATCGAAACTAATTAGTAAACTAATTGATTAATTTTATTAATGGCTTCAGTTTCAGTGCATGTCTTATTTCGCCTTGTAGTAGTAAGTCAATGATCGTTTCAACTCTAAAAACCGATTGGCGAAGCTCTTATAAAAAAATTTTGCACTCTCCTACATTCAATTTATCAGAATCCGAACCTATTGATCTATCGATGAAAAATGACCAATCAGACGAGCAAATTGGAGCAAATATTGAAAAAATTACTGGTTCTTCAGTTCTTTATCGTTTGGATACATATAAACCTGAATTAAAATTACTTGCACCTTTTGCTCATACTCCGCTTACCTATTGCATATGTCAAAATGAAAATAATGGTTCGGAGTATTTCATAAATCCAACAACTGGAAAAAGATGCAAGAAAAGCTACAAAAATATCACTCTTCAAAAACGGTATATTACTTTTTCTGCATTTTTTTATTTTTATTTGATTGCATTCATCACCTAATTTTATTCAAAAAATATAATAATAATTCGAGAAATATAATCTTCAAAAATGATACTATACTAGCTTTTTTCCAGTTTTTATTAGTATAGTCAATATTGCTATTTTTATTATTACTCCTCAAGTATTATTATTTTTATTATTCTTGTCACTTATTGTTTTTATTAATTTATTATTAATTAATTTATTAATTTGATCTGTGTTTTTCATTTTCCAGGAAAAAATTTTTCCTTGGACTTTTCCAAAGCATTTTAAACAATATTTTCCTTATTTGCTTTCTTTGAAGTTTAAACCATGTCGGAAAATTTTTATTGCTTCACTCAATTGTACAATAATCTGCATAAAATGATGCTGATGGTGATCATCAAGAATATTATAGAAAATTATAGAAAATTCCTATCTATTAAATTATCGGTAAAGGTTGCAGGTTTGAAGCAAATGCAAGGGAGCGTAGTCGTGTTCAAACGATAGCCGCTGTATTTGAAGCACTTCAGTCATTACTGCCATATGATGGAAATATGAAATTATCAAAATTATCTATACTTCGTATTGCTTCTAAATATATTCAGTATCTTTCTGCATTATTGGGTATGGATTGTGGTGGACAAGGACATAATATTGATATATGCAGAACTATACTTATTGATACAATTGAAAATGAGACATGCACAAAACGATAATTCTTATGTGATTTGATGACGTTCCTCTTTAAGAAATTTAAGCGAAAAGGAAATGAAAATAAAGGTTTGCTTTATTTTTTGGCAAACATCTGGAAATAAATTCCATTCATTCATATGGTTTGATATTCTATGTTATTTTCACAAATATATATATGTATATATATATATATATATGCATAACTCGAATCTTTACGAAAAAAAAGTTGGTGCATTCGGTCCAAATATCTTTTTATCCCGTAAAATTTACAATCGTTATTTATCAAAAACGATTATTACTTAATATAGTATCATTTCGAACTTACAATAAAACCGCATTATGTAATGCATAGTAATATATCTTTTATTCATTGCTATTTACTGGGTAAAGCTTATAGATAATCTAAATGACAAAGTAATGCTTAATAAAACGATATAATTTGAAGAAAAAAACCAGAGCGATTTTTATATGAAAATTCTTATAATATAAACGCAGTCATCTGCACAATTATTGAATTAATGAACCAACATTACTAACGCTTTTCCAGATGAGACATCGCGAATTGTGTTGATAATATTTTTGATAATATTTTTAATAATATTTTTCCAAAGAAAAAGCAAAGGTTCCCTAATTATGGAATATGAAAATGCAATTTAAATCCTCATTTTTATTGTGTTTAAATTTCTTTCACAATTTTTGTTTTAACTGATTTCTTGGTTATTTTAGAAATTATTTTAGTAATTCAGCGATTCAGTAATTTAGTAATTAAATAATTTATTTTGATAGAACAAATGTGAAACACTTAACTGACTGGGTTAAGTAAAGTGAAAATTAATAAAGTATAAATCTCAATTTATTCTTTCAGTCATCTCATTCGATGAATGAATGTTTCATCGTAAGAAATGCATCTAGTCGGATCTGCGTGATATTTCTATGCTCGCCATTTCTATTTATGCTTAATTTGCTGCTGTTCCAGACCAAATAATTTTTGCCAGAGATTCGATGGCAATAGAGCTACAAGTGAGTCACTAGAATTCGGATTTTTGAAAGATAGGCTTGTTCTTCCCGACGGGAGCAGAATCACAGCATCGGCGCTCCGAAATGAAATCAACAGTCAACATTCTCATACCACTTCTTTACTCCTTTTTATACAATTTTATCTTTGTAATATATATCGTAGTATATTCCTAGATTCATTTTTTATATTTATTATATTTTATAAATATTTTATATAAATAATATTCTAAGCAGTGACTTAACGATGTCTAGAGTAATTCTTTTTATAATAAGAGAAAGTAAGGATAAACGACGCCATTCCATGTTAAAGTATCATAAAAAGGCTGAATGAGAGGAATTATATAAAAAATACTTTTGTATTTTGTTGTAGATTCATAATATGAAATCACTCAACTGATAAGTTGTGCAATTTTTTTATCGAGATGAAATAATGTGGAATTCGTTTAATGTATTCCAAATAACCCATGGTGAATTGAATAATTTTTTAATTTTTGCGAAATTATAAGTAACAGTTTCAAAAGTCTACTTTCAAAAAGTTTTAATTAGCACCATTGATTACTGAAATCACTTCAATTCGTTTTATGGATTAGGTGTTGGGTCTTATGATACTTGCGGAATTTTTAGTGGCATTTTGGAAGAACCAAGAATTATGCACGGAAAGAAATGCATTTTTTTGCTACAATTGAAATAATATTATTTTATTCTTATATTTTGTTTCCTAAAATAAAGAATGATATTTGGACGGTAAAATAATTTTCAATTTTCAATAATATTTTATTTTTGGTATATAAATAGTAAATAGATCGCATAAAATCTTTCTCTTAGAAATTCTTTTCAGTTTGAATGGGAAATATGGGGTTTACAAATAGATAACTAAGAAATTTTTCCGAAATTATTTTATATTTTGCATAATAATTTTAGTTTTAAGCAAATCAGTACGACTTTAAATGATCATTTGATCCTCTGAATTAGTAAAGCTCACGTGGAGACTGTGATCAATAGTAAAGGATATTATTCCTCTGGTACTGTATAGCACTGATCGTCCTCGAAGCATTCATAATTCTTAGGACACAAACCACCAATACATGGTCCGATTGATTCAAGTTTTCTTTGTGATCGATAAGCTACAAGCAATCGTTGAAAATCAATTATATGAAGATAAGAAAAGATCAAAAAAATCAAACGAAATTTGGATGAAAAGCAGTTTTTTAATTTCTCCTAAAATTTTTCATCAGATATTTTTTGGAAATCAGAAAGTGCTATAAATAGAAATAGAGTTATGTATTTTCACATATTTTTGCTATTTTCCACATGTTATTTTATTAAGAGATGTTTTTAAAATGCACTTAGCATTACTTTCAGCTTTTAAGCTATTCGGATAACACTTTTCATTTCTGCATATGTGGCGTCTTGGGCATTGGCTATTAATACATGGTCCAATTGGTTCGATGATTTTGATCATTGATGTCTCACTTTCTTCTTCGTCCGCTAAAACATATCTCCGTAATCTAATGGGCCTTATTCAGCAAAACCGCGATGATTTGCAGACATACTTTTATACGCGACATACAAAATCTATCCAGCATATCCATAAAATTTTAATAATTCCCAAAGTTTTTATTTCTCAAACAAATAATTTATTAATTTTTTATGGCGGTTTGATTAACTTTCCAGTTTTTTTCGTGAAAAAACTTTGGACATATTTGTGAATAATGTGAAAACTTACAGTTGGTATAAACAGAAATCGATAAGATGAGAAAAATTAGTGAAATGGCCAGTAATGACATCGTTTTCTTCTGTAACTGCAATAAAGACAAGAATCTTTAAATAGTTCTTCGCCAAATGTTTGCGAACTTCTTCAGTTTGCCAAATCAGCAAACCGATAATTTTGGTTGCCAGTCACGTTTGCTTTCGTCAAACTAATGTATCAGCAAAAATTTTAATAATTTCCAAAATTTTCTTTTTCCAAATAATTAATTTGCTTAATTAATTTTTCATAGCGATTTGATTAATTTTCCAGTTTTTTTGTGAAAATTTTCATTTTAATTAAAATTTTTATTTCATTAACTATTACCATTCCTTAGATTAATGTGTTAGATTAATGTGTTGAAAGATAAAACTTGGCTTCTACTCTGAACACCCTGAACGAGAGAGTAAACTATTGAAAAACCAGATGGTGCAGGCTATTTGTGTTACCTGTAATATTTTAACAGCCATCGGAGCTAGGATAACATAAACAGTAAGTGCTATTATGTGTATATCTATGAATATATCTATGAATTTTTATCAAATTTTCTGTTTTATTTATATTGCTTTATATTATAATTTCCTGGAAAAACTTTTTCTATGTATTGAAGAATATGAAATATTCAAGCTTGGAACTCGAAAAAAGCAATCCGAAATCGAAAAAATTTAATAAAATTTAATGAATTCGGAGTAAACTGAATAAGGAGAAAAATACAATGTGAGTCAGGTGAAATTTATCATTTATTTACTCACTCACAAAGAAAAGTTTTTGAATAGCTGAAGGTGAGATATTTGCAATGAAAAAAAAGCTGAAAATCACCGCACGACATCTCATTATATAAAGCTTTATCGCATACTAAAAAACTAGTTTTTGACTGCTCTACTAATAATCAATTGAAAAAAACTAGCGGAAAATTCTTTTTTTTCTAATGCTGACTGCGGGGCGTTCCAAAAATTTTTATTCATGCAAGTAAGAAAATAAAAATATTTGAAAAAAATTTTTAATACATCGAAAAATCTATTACTTTTTCGCAATGAAAATGAGGAACAAATTTCGATAGAAATGAATTAGCAGCCTCGGAAAATAAAATACTTCTAATATTAGCAAAATAGCAAATAAAATGTCTTTTTCTAGTTTTTGCATATGAATTTTTGCATCTGTGAACTAAAAAATACATTACTTATAATAATTTGATACATTTGCTACAATCGCTTGTCGATAGAGGGACAAGTCGGCCGACAGCACAACAAGAATTCTTTAATAACAGGTTTACGCCTGTCGTGGACAGGAACTGAACTTGCTTCACAACACGAGTTTGAGCCACTAATCATTCGACTACCCTGCCCCATTAGAAACAAATAACATAGTGCCTACCTTGAACTATTTCATCAAATAATTGGAAATCATTCTCTGTGAAACATAGCTGATTAAAACGATGTTTGAAACCACGATAATTTCTCCAAGTTATTAGAAGAAAACTTTTCTCAACTGGTTTTATTCATATTCACTGATTTTATTTCTCTAGATTTCATTTATCTAAAATCATTAATAATTTGCAAATCGAAACCACATATAGAAATTGAATCGCTTCGCTGAACCCACGATTTATTTTATTCCATTTATATGAAACAAGTAAGAAATTTTACCATAAGCTAACAATGTAGAAAGAATTAGTGCAGATAAAGGGGAATACAGAACAAGAAGTCGAACTGAATGTATTATTCACAAGTAATCGGACGATAAAAGATTCCAAACTACCTGCATAATTTAAAGCTTTTTCCAGTGAAGAGAATGAAAAAGTCGTGAGTTCTTATTTTAGTTTTGCATTTAGATTTATTTTAATAATTTTGGTCCATTAGATTTTGTTGGATTCAAATTTTCCTAAAATTATAATATCTTGATCAATCTGATTTTATTATACAAATAGAATTTTATGTATAAATTAAATCTTGCTTAATTCGATGAAAGGTCGTAGTATCATTGACATTTTGTAATTAAAATTGCTATTAGGAGAAAGGCGACATATAAAATATTTCTTGAGCCCTTCAATTAATTTACTTGATTTGCGGTATCTAGGGAAATAACAGGTTACATCATACTAAAGAAGAGACCGAACGAACGTTTTGTACATTTTATATTTTAAAATCTGGGTTGTGAGTTTTTAAACGAGAGAAGGATAAAATTTAATATTCTTAATATCTGAGATATTCGAGATTCGTCTGATTATGTTACCATTAAAGAGATTAGTTAGGATCCTTTGAATCCGTTGGATCCTTTCGAATATGTAATAAGCTATATTTTTGAATGGAAAGGGAAATTTGCCTATCATAAAACAATTCGATTGGTCAGGCCAGCTTATAGCGGAGAAAGGTTGTCCGATCTACAATGAGAATAATTACACTTAGCATAAAGATAAAGTAGAATATAATAAAACTTGTGATATCATTAATGTATAATGAAAAAAATAATGGTGTAATATAATTTTCTCAAGAGACGCTTAATATAAATGGAACCAGGTCTGAAAGACAGTCACTGATATGTATCACATGATGTTGGTCTTTCAAGTAATCTGACATCCAGCTGCCTGTAATGGCATAATTACTGATGGTTATCAGCAACTTATTTTGCGGAACGATATCAAATGCTTTGCCAAATCTAGATAAGCTATTATTCCATTATCAACTGATGCTAACCAATTAGAAAAATTTACCCATATTTGTGAAGTGGATTTTTCCAAGCAAAAGCTATACTATTTGATAGGAGGATATTAAATTGTTGACATCAAGATATGCTGAGCAATAGCTGGAAAAATTTCGAGGTTGCAACTTGTTGCAAATCGGTCTTTCCAGTACTCTTCACATTAGGCTAATAAGCCCTATCTCAATAAATTTCTGATTAGTGGAATTCAAATAACTTCAGAAATTCAAAGTTTAGCCTATTTTAACGAAATAAATAAAATAATAAATAAAATACTTACAAAAGTACTTCATTTTTTATCAAAAAGTCAGCCAGTTTTCAAGTATTATTACAATAATGGAAAAAAAAAGGCCTATGAACCACTTGATTTAATTGGACTAAACTACACCAGTATCAAGATCAAAAAACGAATTTTAAATTTTAAAAAATCAGAAATGTTCATTCACTCCACTGATCAGTAAGATGGGGAGTTTTTGCCAGAAAGTCACTTAGCGACACAGTGTAAGTGGATCGCCAGTATCATTTGCATTTTTTGATGGCAGATTTCTTCATGTCAGCGACAAGAATACGATAATTTAAATCCCTATCCGCTCGGCTGCCTTATCAACTTATCTATTGAATTTCTCTTGCAAGAATTTCCAATCAAGGTTCCATTGACTGTAAAGTTAACAAAATAAAAAATACTAAAATGAAAAAAATATTAAATAATCCTAAATGACAAAAAATTGCTGCGCGTAATTGCAGTGGATCTTCAAAATAGCTTTAATCATATGTTTTTATCAAATATCAACAATTCCAATAAACTTTACATGATGCGGCGAATAATTATTCTATTATATTTCGTAAAATGAATAAAGTAATATAAGGATTTAAGAAATTTAATCCAAACAAATATATACAAAAATAGGCTTCGATAAATCAAAAGAAAATCTTTGATAATAACATTAAAATACATAATATTAAAAAGAAAAAGAAGAAGGAAAAAAGAAAAAAAATATCACAGAAATGTAAAAATAAGGAATGGTTTTGAAAAAATAAATTAGCTCAAGCTTGAATGGCCGAAAGTAGAGCATCTTCGTTAAATATTTCTAAAAGCACTTCTGATCCCTCATTAAAAGGCACGGTTATGCTACCATCAAGAACAAGCTGACCATCGCTACATCTCGATTTTAAGAATATACGTTTAGCAAATCCACGCGGAGGAATCTCTTTGAATGTTTTATTGTATACTGGTTCCCGGATAGCAAAGGCCATTTCTAAATGCAAGGATTATTGAAGGATTAATTTTTCAATAATTATTGTTGCGCGATTTAAAATTACCTCATACAAAAAAATTTTCTCGTGGCTGAAAATAGACTTCTGAGAAAAGAGAATTTCCTAAATCGCAAAATACCTGGAGAACTTGGATCGAATAACAAATTTTGACTAAATCGTTCAGAAATCTCCTTATTTTGTTGATCGTTCACTTCAATATTCATCAAGCCCATCGAATTCACTATTGATAAAATTTCGCCAACATCTTGAGCTGATAAGCGATTAATAGTGTAGTACCTATAATTATAAGGTAAATAAAAAATCACTCCACTGCCATCCTTAATATCATCGATATAAGTAATAGCATTTCTTTTTTATTTCTTAAATATTCAGAATTCTTTGAATATTTATATAATATATATCACCGCATTTATGAAAATTTTATTAATAATTTATTCATATTGAGTTTATCACTGCTCTGTCTATGGCAGGAATAAATTTAGCGATTCTCTTTTTTTTCTATCGCCAAATGATCTTGGCGAAAATTTCTCATTCTCTTCTCTCTTAAGCAAATAAAGTTAGTCCAACTAAAACTGGTAAATAAAAAATTAATACTATCAATTCACGTTTATTTTATTTTTAATTTGCAATTTTTTATAAGAATGGGTATGGAAAATATTTCACTTATAATACTTTTAAATTTTTTGCCTTTTTTATTAATCGAGCAAGAAAATGACTGAAATTTTGCATCAACCCAATTTACTTCGCAAAAGTCGAAAAATTACATTTTCAAATCCATAACCACTTTTTGCATTCCTTTCTGATAAATATTAAAACATGAAAACCTGTTTTACTGAAAAGTTATTAATTTACCATGCCGTAGAACCGGTTCCGGTCGATACTGTTAATCCTGAACTTTTCTGACGAATGACAGGGTTGTTATCAATTTGAACATCGTAGGAGCTAACTCTAGCAGCATGAATTTCTCCCATGAAGACATCATTTAATGCAAGCAAAGGAACGCCTGGATTATAAGCGCGAAATGAACTGAAAGTTCCACAAGAGAAGTAAGCCCTAGCGGAATCCTTGGAATCAGATCAAATTCCTTACATTTATAGTTGACGATAAGTAAAATTTAAAGTTAAAAAGTTCTTAAGCTAGAATTTTTTAATTTATTCAGTTTAAATTAAATTTTACAAATTCAAAAATACTGACAACTGTTCACACGGGCCTAATGATAAAACGATAACAAAATAACAATATAATGATGAATTAAAGTTTACCTACCCATTATTTATTTGTCTTCCATTTTCATTATCATCAGATTCCGAAGATAATCGCTCATCGTTCACAACTTTCAACAAAGTTACACGAATTCTTTGCCGCCGAATCCAACTTTAAATATCTTTGATGGAAAGCGGATAATGAAAATTTCTATTACACATCATCATACTTTTTTGTTTTTTCTACTGAAGAAATAAATTTTTTATAAATAAATTTTAAGCAATAAATTTATAGTTTCCCACTTTTTTTTGAAAACACATTTTAAAAAAATAATGGAAAACAGTCATTTAAGGAATGGAATCATATACAGGTTAAGTAATGACTCAAGATTCTCGCTATGTTAGACTGAAATTAAGACCGAGTTAGTTAGGATTGATTAAGAATATTCGCCTTTTATCGCAAGTAATTCATATCTTTGAAAAATAGAATGAATAATTTTAATGAAGAAATACCTGAATTTTCCTTTAAACAAATCGCTTATTACTTCACTCACAGAATGAAATGATTTCCCGGTAAGGCAAAGATGGCCTTCCGAACTATATGAAATAAATGAAATAAAATAAGCTGATGAAAAAGGTCAAAAAAAAATGAGGAAACCGAATCGAATATGATAAATATGATTCCGGAATGGTTTTTGTATCAATTATTAAATGTCCGTTGACATGCTCAATCATAATGGACAATGGTTTTAACTCAATCAAACTATTCTTGAATTAATTATTGCTAAAAAGAAGAAATTGCATAGTGGATAAAAAAATGAAGCCTGAAGTTCTATAAAGATTAAAAAAAATTCGGAGTGGAACTGCAGGTCAAAAAACTTTATTCTACCCTTCCGGATCGGAGTTAAAACCGATTACTGGCTTCTGACCAGTTACTTTAGCTGCAGCCATCAAGAAAGTTCCATCACCACCCACGGAAAAAACAGCATCAGCCCACTCGACGTTTTCTGTTAAATATTCATCGCCGCTAACAACTCTTGTTTCGATGAAATGATCCCTGAAATATAAAAAAATATAAAAAAAGTGAGGACAATATATTTAACCAAAATAGGTACATTTAGCCAAATAGTTTGGCTTACAACTTATACTACCAACATCAAAATAAAAATTAAAAAATGGAATCTAATGATCCGTTTATCGGAAAAATATTAATAAAAATATTTTAAAAGCTAAAATTGAAATGCCGACAATTAATACAAAATAAAACAAATCTTAAGGCAGAACACATTTCGCTTATATATTTTATCTGCTGGCTGTGCTTCATTTTCATATTATTATATACCAATCCGTGCCTTTTGAACTGTAAATAAAAGAAAAACGGTAAATTACAATTTTTTTTCAACAAAATAGATTTTCATTTAGTATAAATTTCATTTACTAAATTTAACTGATTTAGGTCAGGGATGTCCAACCTGCGACCCATCGTAATTACAATTCTCAGTAGTATTAAGTTTGCGATGGACCGCAGGTTGGACATCCCTGACCTAAATAAATATTTCTACTGGTGCGCTAGCTTCACACTATTCTTATATTTCTTTTAATTTTACAATAAAAAATGAAAAATAAATGAAGTTTTTGACTTATTTTTTTACTTAATGTATTTTATTGTACTGTGCAATTTATATACCCAAGGTTCCCGGAGAAGATGGAAGGCTATATAAGCTCCAGAGTTAGAATGAATAATTCGCATTACCAAATAGCCATGGAGAAAATTTTACAAAAATATGTCGATAAAATATTTATTTAGAAAAATTCTACTAACAATTCGTTAAAGAAAAATGAATAAATTGACAGATTTCTTTTTTGAACTTTATGCAATGTTTAAACCTTTTAATTAAATTTTTAAAGGTTTTTAGATTCGAAGAATACAGTTTTTCCAAAGTTACATTTAGAAAACTGATTAAAATGTAAGAGAATAAAAAGAATAATCTCGAAATTGGAAAATTAACCAATGCAAGAAGTTGTTGGAAATTGAGTTCTGGATGCTTTTTAGTTTCATAATCAAGTTTTGTCGTCTTGGAAACAATAATAACACGTTTTAATTGCAGAGGCACCTGAAGAAACAGCACATTTCAATAAAAGATGCCACTAGTTCTGCCTTTGGCTACAGAGGTGAAAGGTTCTCATCTTTATAAACACTGGAGCCAATCAAACTAGAAACAATAGAGAGGTATTGGTAGAAGAGGAATGAACAAATCTATCGTTGCGAAGTTTATAGAAGTGTAAGGAAGAAATATAATGCATTCTGAGAGGACAATAAGGGAACCTGAATAACAGTATTAAGGGGAAATAATAAAATTTTCCAGAATGTTAAGAGAAAGATTAAAATAAACACACTCTACGCTTAGTGCAGGAAATTCAAAAGTAACCTTAATAATATTGCCGTTTGCCATGGTGTTTTTCTTCATGTTAACGAAATTTTTCATAATCTTTTCAACATTGCTGAAAATTATCCATTAAATTAGTTAATTCATTAAAAAATGATTAATTAATGAAAAAACGTCGAAACATAAAATAATTATCGATACAGTCGATTTCAGTATCAAATTTCAACAAAACAATCAAGCGACATATCGGAATTATCAGCAAGAATTATCAAAATGTAGGCTAAAAAAGCGAAAATATAAGCGAAAAAAATAAAAAATGATGTTGCTTATGGATGATGAACCTATTAAAAAGGAAACGGAAGACGGCAATATATGAAAAAAAGATTTATAACATGAAAGGCCAACGATTTACAAGAAGTAGCTTCAATTTCAGGATGGCATCGGATCGAGAGAGTATTTCCTAGTAGCCAGCCAGATAGCCAAATTAGAAGTGGAACGAGTAGATGGAGGAAGAAAATACGAAAAGCAATTTATGCGAAACTTTGAAAAATAAAACCGTGGTAGGTAGTAAGTTAAGCAGATTCACTGCGCGATTTCAGCCTTGCACCATTCAATTATTATACGAAATTTTGTGAATCTCCAGAAAAAAAATTGAAAAAAAATAGCAAAACCAGTTTATGGCATACGACAATGCACAACTGATATGATAACCTCGCGGTTCTATACATTGCATTTCACCTGGTTCACGAACTGTATCGTCAAGAACAATATTAAACAATATTATAAAAAGAGCTGAAATAATAGAAGGGACCACGCGAAAATAAACATATAAACATATATAGTTTAAAAATAAACATATATAGTTTAAAAAAAAGTCTGAAGCACAATTTTCCCACAAAAAACAATTTTTAAACTAAAATCAGCAAAAAAAGAAACTAATTCATTGGCTAATTAGATAGTTATGCCGCAGAGTTTACAGCATTTTTTTAAAAAGAAGCACAAAGAATAAATAAATTCAATAATTCGACCAATCAGAAAAATTAAAAGTTAAAAAACTGACAAAAAAATATTTACAGAGAAAAAGAAAATGGAAAACAAAGAGAAATAAAAAATAAAAAATTCACAAGTTAGAAAAAACTTAGAGATAAAAGAAATCTTATCAGAGTTTATAAGAAGGATCTTCGAAAGATTGAACCTCACGTTCTCAAAAATAAAAGGTATTAATCAAAAAGTTTCAATTCATTCTCTACAGTACAATACAGCTTATTGATTCCCTATTTAAACTGGAAAATTAATAGATGTCGAGAATTCTTTCAATGACGACTGAGCAGGATATAATCAGCCTGGTTTTTTAAATCTACTCGCCGCATGCACATGGGGCCCACTGATAGTTATTTGTGGCAAAGGATTTCCAGCGTTGGGCTTGAGAGCCACGTTTTTTAAATTGTTTGCATTATTTTACTCCACCAAATTCGCATATTTATTATATATACCAGGCTAAAAAATTTTCAAACTCCTGAGAAAACGTGTCACCACATTAGAAAGTGGGTTTCTAGCAACCCATTCCGATTTTAGATTGGTTTACTTCTATGAAAGAAAAAATGAAAAAGAGAAAAAAGGTAAGAAAGAAGGGAACTATTAATTTGCAATAAATTTTTTTAAGCTTTCTTTTTAAAACCGACGTTTTAAATTTAAAACGATATTTAAAACTTATTAAAAATTTAATTCACCAGGCAAACTATGCGGAAAAAAAATGAAATCTGGAAGTTCCAATAAATTTCAAAAGAGAAATCATCCAATTAATATTTAATAAAATTAATAAAAAACGATGAGGTAGAAGAGACAAAAAAAATTAAAAAAGAAAACTATTAATTGCTGGAACGAATTACCAGATAACGATGTGGCGATCCATTTATGCACCAAGTTTTAAATTTTACGGTTCGATGTCATGCGGTTAACGTTTACCACTTCTTATAGTTCTTAAAATTTTTTACTAGGTTTGCTTCTGGTAATTTTTTGCCATTTAATTCTGAAGATTTGGAGATTTGCTGCCGGAAACAGTGCTTAAATAAATAAAAATTAAGAAGGGAAGATTCGCAGTGAAATAAAATAAAGCTCAAACTGAATTTATCATTCATATTTGTTGAAAAAGGTTAAAGAAAGAAGGTTAAATAAACTTTACAACAGAAATTTCTAACGGGAAAATGCGACTTATATTCTGATTGGATAATAATATTGAATATCATCGATAAGCGAAGGTCGCACTTTCGTAGAATTCAAGAAATGAAAAATGATTCTACTTTTACTTTCCCTAAGAAATTTCCGCTATTCTCTCAATTTTCCAGGATTAAATGCAATAAAAATAAAAGGATAAATTAGAAAGTTAAATTTTTTTCCTCTAAAAAATCTCCAAAATTCCGTTAACTTCAATTATTTTTTCGCAATTTCAGCCGAAAATTCAGATCTTTCAAATCTTTAAATTTTAAAAGATGAACAATTTAAATTTCTCTTTCAACAGTAAATTTGGTATGTATTTTCTTTTCTAATTTCTTTTGATTTATCATTTGCCGATAAAGAACATCGCGAAAGAAAATGGGTTAATGCAAAGATCGAATGTGTCTAATCGTCAAATTCTTTAAATAGAACCAGTCGACTTCCCAATCAGGAACAACAAACATAAATTTATATATAAATCGAAATAACCTTATCATTTTAAATCTAAACATGGCAGTGATCACTCTAATATTTTTTGCACAATTTATGATCCTTCCATTATCTGCTGAAAGTGTTCATTGGCGTAGGTTTTCGATTTTTTTATTAATAAATCTAGTTCAAACTAATATTCAGCAATCGCTCTTAACTTATTTGACTTATGAAACAACAAAAATTTAAGTTTATGCATAATTCCTGGTTCTTTTAATAGTCCTCATCATTTGTGGTTTGGCTGCTTTCGCTGGCTGCTAGGATTAATTAATTAATTTCGTCAGTCACTTTGGCCATGTGCACCTCTCTAACACCCTCGGAAAGCATAATTTCTATCATTCCTTATTTTTTTTGCTGTTAATGAAGTAGAAACCAAATTGTCAAATCTATTTGGTGCAATTATATCGTAATACACAATTGCAGCTAAGAATTCTTATTTGCGATGTTCGCCCGAAATGCTGCGAAATTGTTCCTGAATATAATAAAATTTCAAAATTCTTCATATAGCAAATTTAGAATTTCGAGACTTAGTTTGTGAAACGAAAGATAGCACTGGATCCGATAAAATAAGTAAAAATCCAGCTGAATGTAAACTATTTCTTCGTGAAACAGGCAAAGATGACGATCCAAACGACAATCGAAGGGAAGTGCCAGGCAAAGGATGCTTTGATGTAAAATTCGATAAATTTTCTAACATTTTAATAAAAGGTTGAATCTAAATTTTATAAGGTAAAAGAAAGATGCGACTATTAAGACTTAATGTTTAATAATCTAAACAACATTTTTCTGCTCATTCTCTGAAAACAACTTATCAATTATTGCATAATTCAAATTATTGCATAAATACCAAAATTGAAAAAAATTAAAAATGAAAATTTTTATTTCGTCCATTAAACTTATTAGTAATTGAGAATTCTAACAAGCAATTATGATATAAATATTGAAAATGTATAATTTAAGGAAGTGGTAAATGGTACAGTACGAACATATTGCGATTTATTATGCCCAAATGCGGATACAGTTTATGTAATTAAAAGAGATCCACAAAATCATAGATCATGTTTTGAATTTCTAACTTACAAACGTGAAAAAAGACAGGATGAATGGTACTTTTGGAGACAAGAGGTAATTTTAAAATCAGTATCAATAAGCATAGCCTATGAAATAATTTAATATCCACGATAATCTCATATTTACCTTAAAATTTTTTAATTAAATAAGTTAGCTGGCCGATTATGCAGTATTTGGATCAAAATTTCATGACATGATGAAATTAAAAATAAGGACCCTTAGATGGAAATAAACTTACCAGCGTAAGTAAAATTTAGCTGATATAGGACCACATCTATTCTCCTGATAATAATTTCGTAATATGGAGCCAAAAAAACAAACAGGCGTTGGGACCTTTACTTTTAACTGAATTTTTATGAAGAACGAACCTGTTTTCCTTGAAATTCCTTGAAAGAAAAACTTATTATAACTCGCAAAAATTAGTTGGAATTAATTAATTTTATATTGATGAAAGCATTTTCATACTTCGGTAGGAATGTATACTTTTATTTTTTTCGGGATTTGATTTGAAATTATTTTATTCAATTCCAATCTGTTCTTTTATATTTCATGTCTACCACTTATAAGACTGAAGTTTACAGGGAAACAATCACAGAGATCAAGAATTTCTGAAAATGAAACATTTTATATTTTAATTTCACCAGAGATTAAAAAATAAGATATTTTTTTCAAAAATATTTAAATGAATAATAAAAATGATTATCATGATTAGCAATAAGTGAAAAAAATTACAGAAATGCCGCAACGCAACAATTACCTTTAAACTTCGATGCGAATTTCTATTTCCACGAAAAGAATTTCCAGATGACACAGAGATTTTTAAGAAATTTTCCGCTTAATTATTGGGAATTATTTTTATAAAATCGCTAACAAAAGAAACGAATTCTTTTAATTGAACAAGATGCCAACGCCAATTTGTGGTAAAATTATTTCCAAAATTGTTATTGTAACGGCACTTACTTAAAACATTAAATATTATTATATACTGAATAACATTAAAAATATGATAGCTGATGCCATAGCGATTTCAAATCCAATCACCAAATAATCCTATAAAAGTACTAAACTTCAATCTCAATAATTCTGCACTAACTGGCTTCACTCTAGATTATTTACTGATTTTCTACTAAAAAAGCAGAATGCTAGCAACTTTTCAAGAAAATTTTTAAAAAAATCCCAATGTTATATATATTATTTACGCATTAACGTTTACCGATCGCCGAATACGTACAAATATGTCGCAAATATGCGAATAAAAATTGATGCAAATAGCACTAGTAAACCCGAAAATAACTCTGCATTTCTTCAAGAAATTTACAATTTTGTAAAATTTACTACAAAAAACCTATTAAAAATAAATTTATAAATCACAAAACTAAAAAAAGTAAATACAGTACAAATGAAAATTGAATAATTTTGATATAATATCCATTTCAACTAAATAAATACTTTTGTTTCAGAATAATCACAAGTTTTTAAAAGATAAGTTTCACACGTCACAGTAAACCTTTATAAATGCAAATAGATGAAAAAAAATTTGTTACGACACAGCAAAAAAGTTTTTATAAACTGACGCTTGATAAAAAGTACTTTGAGGAGAAAAAAGTATAAATTAAATAAAAATCATGGAATGTAATCAAAATTCTAAGTGAAATAGTAATATCAAAATTTGCACACATAAATCATCAAAAAAGTCGTAATAAAATGAATAACAACATGATTAATAACTGTTCAATCAAAGAATTTTCGATTCGGATTTTCGCCAAACAGAGCCGTCCGTATTTGTGGTATGATCTACAAAATAAGGTCATCTAGTTGTTTTTAATCGAAAATAATTCCGTATACGAAACAATTTTGCATAAATGTTGAAATAAACACACGCAAATAGAAAAATGGATTTGAAAGACTTTACCTGACTAGCTATTAATTCTAGTCGCGACTCCAGAGTTGACGAAACTTTAATTTTCCCACCTTTGGCTGACAGTTCAATGCCTCCAGCGCTTTCAGCAGGAAGATAATCACTATCGATTTTCACCTTGAATAAAAGATATGAAAGATATGAAAGAATTATGAGAAATGAGAGAAAAAAAACATAATTAAGAAAAATAGGAAAAAAAAATCCTTTTTCAATAGAAGATTAAAAAATTTGAACAGAAAAAAATTACATCCATTAATGAAAGAAAACTTACTTCAGTTCTTTGTCCCCAAGTTTCTTCTAGTTCTTTAAGACATTCCGGAAGAAGATTATCAATAAGTGCGACATCTGCCTTCCGACAACGCAAATTCACCTCTTTTTCCAGCATTTGATAAAAAGCCTTCAAAATTATAGTTAACTATAAAGCAAAATCCACAGCTGTTTTTGAAAAAAACTCCAAAACCCCAAAACTATACTTAAAATTTATATAAAAATCTCACTTGTAACAAAAGACCTTTCAGAATGGATGGATAACGTTGTACATCATTTGAAATGCGCGAAAGGTTCATTCGAGCTTCTTCCATGACATTATGTAAATGGTCCTCACGAGCCTTGACAATAATCAATCAGACCAACAAGATTTAATGTATATTCCTAATATTAAAGTTCTAAAACCTCAAATAGTTATTGGAAAGCTTAAAAGCCAAAAATTTTCACTGGCAATAAGATTAGGAAAAATTAAAATCCCGTAAATTCAAGATTCGAAAGAAAATTCAAGATTAATAATGCTCAAAATATAATGAGTATCAAAGGCTTCATTTAGAAAAGAGATAGCTAAAACCCAATTGGAATTAACTGACTCCTTTGACCTTACTTTACGTCCATTTTAATTTTGACATCGAAATTACAATATGCAAAAAATTTATACTTTAAGACATTTCAATCTGCCTTGATTCAACATATTTGATCCCTGTATTTTTCGCTGCAGTTCAACTTGTTTTTCTTTCTTATCATAATAATCCAAAATTTTCTGCCGCTGTTGATTGAAAAGACGACCCTTAAACCAGATTTATCTTTAATAACGAATTTACTATGAAGGTAATTAACATTAAAATAAATTTAAAATTTTTCAGTTAACCAGTCAACACAGAATAAATAGTTTAAGGAGACCTAGAGGAGAAAATTTTATTTCTTGCGTGATCATTTCTGTTATTCTCTTGCAACATTTCTAGAATTTTAAAATTTGCTCCATACAATTAAGTTTTAAATCTTAAAGCAAAGAATTAAAATAAAAAATGAATTATAAATAAAATAAAACCAACAAACCTAAAAGAAATAAATTTAGTTTTTTTTAAAGATATTTTTTTTCTCCTATTTTTCTTTTTTTTTCTTCCAATTTTATTTTATCTAAGGAGACCTAGAGGAGAAAATTTTATTTCTTGCGTGATCATTTCTGTTATTCTCTTGCAACATTCCTTCTTTTTGACAGGAATAAATCTGTTATAGTTTCAAAAGTTCTGGTGGCTGCTGAGGAACGACTCTATCCCCAAATAACTTTGAGATGAAAAGATGTGGTTTTGATTCGCATGCTCTTCGGCACGATGGTATATGCGATAAACATGCAACTCAGGCATGCCAAAACAAATCCAAGGCTTGAGAATAAAATTCGAAACCTATCAAGGCAAAGAAAGAAAATACGACAGATTTATTCCTGTCAAAAATCCTGTTCACTCCAGACGCTGCGAAGTGTTAACCGTAGTCGCGTGGAACAGAACGCTTGTGGGTATTGTAAGGCAAGTGATTATTGTCCATGTGTGGATGCTGCCAACTTGACAGAAACTCGTTTTCAGCAATTACTAAACATAGCTCTGAAAGAGATACTGGCTATATGATGATACTTCGAGTAACTCAGGCTCGGTCCGCTACCACTGAGTAGAAGCCATATGGCCTATGCTTCAAAGGAAAGTTCTGCAATGCCTCGATCATCATTGTATATGCTCCAACTTTATGCACGATAAAAATATATTCTATGCGAAATTTATTAATAACATATCTATTACCGGAAGATGATATGATTAAAATCGGGGGAGACTGGGAATGCACGCATAGATAACGATGCCGCCACGATGAACTTAGTAAATATGGCTTTAGGATCCAATGTGCCAATGGAGAATGCCTTCGCTTAACATTAAAGGACCAGATGAATCAGATATTATGGTTTGACCTAAGATCCACGTAAAACTAACAACTCGCAAGAAACAATTTTCCAAGATTTTTCAACTATCTGAAAGATCGGGAACAGTAAGCACAAATTATTGAAGGACCTTAATGATAAAAATATCAAATTTTCAGGAATGGCAAATGAATACTGCTCCCAATTAAAGATATTTTTTGAAAGATAGCCACTTTCATACTGGGGCATTCGTAAGAAATGCGCTAGTTAGGTTTCGGAAGCAGTTGTCGAATTGTATGAAAAGGCTATCAAAGCATATGAGAGACTAGAAGATCAGGAATGACTAATGATTATCGGATGCTTTGAAGAATTATACAATGATAGTTTCAAGATAGAACATCGTTATTCGAACGATGTGAATTGAAAATGGAGCTGATTATCTGATTATGCGATAAAAAAAAAAACTATTTTACTTTCTTTATAAAACAATTCGGGGAACGGTTAGTGAAATGATACGGGATGGTAATGGTGTCCATGTTTAGACTATTAAGGATTACTTTGTAAGATGGAATTTTTTGAAACCAGATTTAACCATGATACTCCATCTGTTTTCTTAACTGAATCGCTTGTCCAGAGCCATACTGCCAACCGCCAACAGAACAGGAAATAATCTCATCCAAAAGTTTTAAACCAATAAAATGGTCTTCGGGCTGAAGCCTTTAAATGTTGTCCATCGCCTTTCATAATATATCCTCAACAAATATACTCTCTGGTATGCATGAAAGAAATAATACCAGATAACTCGAGCAAAATTCTGCTCTCAATCCCAAGGATGACGACACACTGCAACAATTATTGAGAAATCTTTTCGCTTCCCTTCTACTGAATAGTTTTATGCCATTAAGAGATAGCAGGATGCACCCTGTTGAACTCACGCAGAAACCGAGACGCGGACCGTTGACCGTTAAATATTTCCGCTAAAAGAGGATATAAGACCATCGCTAAAAATCGTTCCACCCTCACTTGTTTCACCGTTTCATCTGACAGAAGAAAATTTTTGGAGAGTTATGGAATTTGACAGTTCCACAAAAGACCATCCGACTCATAAAGGCATTATCAGTGTGCATCGACACGCATATCTGTATATATTGGGAGCTGATGAACTCGAAATAAAAACTGATGTCAAGTCAAGTCTCCAAGTCTCCTTACAATTCAGTTATGCGATAATGGATACTGGAAGAGATGTACAAACCAGTCCAGATCATAATATTATCACAGATCTTGAATACTGAGTACTTGCTTTTGCTTTTGTAGTCCTTTTTGCTGATATTTATGATGAAATGCAAATAATGCTAAGACAATGTGTCGACAACTGCAGCGAAAATCGGACTTAGGATCAATATAAATAGTCCTTTCGTCTTATTTACAAGAAACTGCCCAAACGGACAAGCGAAGGACGAAATTACAACTACCCGGATAATGACAGACAATATTAGTAAAATGATTTAATGATAATTTCACTTTTCTTAGTGAATAAAACGCATTTCCAAACAAATCTGTCTTTTATATTTCGATGATTTATAAAAGAAATATAATTAACGTTTTAAAAAATGGGAAAAGTATAGTATAAAAAACATATAAAAACAAAAATATAAATAAATATCTGATAGGAACAGATATATATATATATATATTTATAAAAAAAGCCTTTTCAAGTTGAAACTCTTCTTCAGCTTTCTCATCAATTTCTTCAGCTTTTTCATTGGCTTCCTGCTCAATGAACGCCATCATATGGCGCAGTTGCTTTTGCACGTCATTGTCAGTGATCCCCATAATTAAATAGTTAGACTGAAATAATCCAGATTTAAAAACATCTTCAACGTTTAAAATTTATCAAAAGGCAAAAAATTTAGCAGAAACGTCTAGAAAAATGGCTCAAAAAAATATAAAAAATATAAAAATATCAAAAAAATATAAAAAAATTTATGGTCAAAGGTGGATTTGAATTTTATAAAAGCATTCGAAAGTTTATACCTATTGAAACAATTATTTACTTTATAAATTGAATGGTAGTTCTGTGATAATATAACTGCCACTCAGAATCGAGATTCAGGTTCGAATCTAAACGGAGACGCATCATGCCTTCGTCGGATGGCAGTTTCGCCTAACGGAGAAAGAGAGAGGAATGGCTGAGAAGGTTGTTGATCATTTCGGAGTAGCGTTAGTGAGAATCTACGCTTTCGGAAGGAGAAATCTGACCTTCAAAAATCCAGGTGATGCTGGCGACCCGTATTTCTATCACCAAGGAACTCCCTAGCATATTCATCTGCTCCGACAAGTAGGCGAATCTTATCAACAACGGTGAGGGCTTTTGAAAAAAATTATTGAATGAACGATCACATAGCTCAATTATCTAGATTTATTTAAAATACCTTTTTGCAAAAAGTCTCAAAACACCATAAGTATCGACGTTGTCAATTGACACACTTATCAGATCCCTTTAAAATACATTTATTTAAATAAATATCTCACTTTTAATAATCTGCACTAAATAAATTTTTAGCACACATCTTTGCTCATTCTCAACTTCACTGTTTCCAATAATATCTTAAAATTAACCCTTGTAAAATGCCAGAATACATACCAAAAAGGCATCAACAAAAATCGAAATAGCTAAAGTGAACAAATTTAAAAATCGAAAATAATGAGAATTGTAAAATAATTTCGAGAGATAGAAGTATTGAGGGACTTTCTGAATTCTTACGTTGCAACGAAAAATTGGAGAAACAAGTCGGACAACGCCCAAACGTGACCTTTAACCCAAACCTGACTTCGTCCACTCGTAAACTCGTAACTGCCACTAATTAACAAACAATTATGCTATATGAAACTATATGTTCAATGATCGCCAATTGATCACTAACCTTTCAGCGACTATATTATAGAATTTCGTTTCAAGAGTCTCGTTTGAAGAACTGAAACAAAATAACGTGCCGGGCGTGGACGAAATATCTCATCACAAATATTTGACCAGAAAGCATTTTCGAATGTGACAGTCAGTACCAAAGTTTTCACAGCAGAACTCACTTCTGCCCCTTCATCAGATGTTGCCTAAGGGAAAAGGCGTTTTCCCTTAACGTCACACTGTATTCGTTTAGCACTCGTTGCCGACGACCACCAAATCTACAGTACGCTTCCTTATGACGCTCCAGTTGGAGTAACTCTTCTTCTCCACTACTCGACATATTCTCTCACCACCATCCTTCTTTCCTTCATAGTTTAACTTTCCTTTCAGTGAGGGGAAAACAATTGCAATTTATGTAAAGTTATGACTGCATTAAGATTAATTGACAGTCTGCTAGAAAAAAAGTTCACGAACAGAGAGAAATGCTTTAACAAGTGATTTAAAAGTTTTAATAATGGGATCAACGCGGATGTAATTAAGCGACAACCACCGAGAAAACGGCACTCGGCAGTTGGCATTTCAAAACGGTTGGAATGTCAAATGACGAGAACTTAAAGGCCACAACGGCATTGTGGGGCGGAGTGCGGAAGAACGAGCGGATTGCGCGCCTAAGCGAGCTTCTAAGGCTTTCCACGTTCTTCCGCACAAATTTGCGTTGACACAGCAAATCCAATAATTAAATTCGCAATAATTTACCATGAAATGATTTTTTGCACAAAATAAATTTTCCAAAAAAATTATTTTAATTTCTAATTTCTGAAAGAAAATACTTCAAAAAGACGGGGAAAGAATTCCGTTTTCAAAAACTGACAAATTGAAACATTCGCTTCAGTTTTTTTGCAAAAATCACTCCCTTTTACCGTTTTTATTCGGGAACAACGAACTTTGCCAACTTTTTCCAAATGTTTCTCCGATATTCGCGACTGATATAAATCTCTAATCTGCGGTCGCGGATATTTTAAATGGGGAATGTCGCACGCTGAGATGGGAGAAAGTGGATTGGGTTCGGTTTTCGCGCAAAAGTTATTAAATTGTCGAGTTTAATTTGAATTGGAATTGCGAATTCACATTGTCGTTCCATGTAAAGTCTTCCAGTTTCATTGATTTAGCAGTGTTTTTTTCACTTCGGTTTCATTTTTCATTTAGTTCATTGAGGAAGGGAATGATCAAACGAAATCTTAAATTTCGTCTTAAATTTAGCGGATTCTTTCGAGAGTTCGGTGGAGGCTGTGGATTCGGCCGACAGCTCGGAAAGGCCTTTATGGGCCCTTTCAGGGATTTGCTGGGGGCGGTCGGGGATTTGCCGAAGGCTCGTCTTCGCAGGTGTTGCGCATGAGTTCTGTCGTAATTAAATGAATGATTCCAAGAAGAGATGATTTCAGACGATGGAATCGTTAGTAAATTCAGTGAAGAGTGCTGCAATAAGTGTAGGCGAAATATTTACACCATTATTGAAGGAATCGAAATTCAAGGAAACTGGTGTACTAACACCAGAAGAGTTTATTATCGCTGGTGATTATCTTGTCTACAATTGCCCAACATGGGCGTGGGCAAAGGCCGTTGACGAGTCCAAGTAAGTCAACTTTTTTCCATTTGTGCATTTGCATTTTTTTATTCTATTGTTCATTTCATTCTATAAAGAGTTAATTCTATTTCTACACTTTTTAAATTCATTTTCTTTCTCGGAAATTGGCTTTTTGGAATTCAAAATTATATTCGAAATCTTTTAAAATTTAATTAAAAATTTGTTTGAAACTTTATAGTTAAAACCATTCAAAAAATTTTGAACTTCAAAAAATAACAACTTTTGTTTTTGAAATTGAAATCAATTTAAAATAAATTGATTTTGATTTTATTAAGCTGGTGAATTGCAGAACGAGGAGATACTTGCCAGTTAATAAGCAGTTCTTGATTACACGAAATGTTCCTTGCAGTCGGCGTTGTATTGACATGGATTATGATGCAAAACAAGAAAAGGTTGTTTTCCTCTTTTAAGTGGATTTTTGAAGGTTTTCAGAAATATATTTTAGCCTCTAAAAATTGTGTTTATCTAGTAATTATGAGGCTGCACTTTCCTCTTGAATTATCAGTTTTTTTCTGTTAAGAATTGAATATATGAAAGAGATAAAATTACAAATTGAATATAGAATTACAAACACTTAAAAAAAAATAAAAAGTAATTTTCAAATATAAAGGTCGTTTTCATTAATTAATTTTTACTAATTATTATTTATTTTTGCTAATTATTGTATTAATGTTGCAAACTAAAAGGAAAAAACATAATTAATAACAACAAATAAAGATGCTGTAGTAAAACGCATGTTAATAATACAAAAAGAATGAATTCAAAAGCATAAACGAAGGATTCTCAACGGACGATGGAACTTTGAAAGGAATCAGTGAATTTCGGGGGATCAGTAATAGCTTTGGGTGTCAATAGGAAGCCGATGGAGAAGTGGACAAAATATGATTGGTTTCAACTTGATGAGTGCTCAAAAATTTCTTATACATAAAACTATCCTTGAATGAAAATCGTAAATTTTTAGCATTTCAAATAATGTATTTTGATTGATATTCATTAGATTACAGTATTAAAAATGCCTTTTTTTATTAGTTCACATGGTGCAAAATGCAAAATCATCGAGAATTTAAAAAGCGGATCGATGGAAAAGCGTTCCTCTCGTAGAGAATCGATGCAAGAAAAATGTTGAAAGCCTAAACTCTAAATAGGGAAACAGCCATTTCTTTCTTTCATTGTTATTCAAGTCAAGACCAGTTTCCAAATATCTTAGTATTATTGATCATTTGCCCTTTGTGAACTTTCTTCTATCCTTATAGTACATTTTTTTGCGAAAAATTTTTCATATTGTTGATGAGTAGAAGCTTTTCGTTTTCCTTACGGAATAAATCTCTCTAAAATCAGAGTTCTATCTGTACTTTTGCTCTCTGATTTCCTATTTTCCTAGCTTCATTAGGGTCAGACAGATTAGAATTGTTGAATGATATTAGAAAGCGAAAAAAATTTCGGGTTGTTAATTAATTTTTCTCGAAATTTTCGAGAGATTATTGAGCATTATTTTAAGATTATGAATTGTTAAGCGCAAATAAAATGCTATAAGACAAGAGAAAAGAAAGGTGAAATATCGGTATGGATTGCCAGTAACTTTTCTAATTGATTATATACAAAATTACGAACTTGTTAGAGTAGTTGCAATGGACTGGGCTCATTGTCGTTCGGCCATTTGAAAATGTCCACTTAATATAGAGAATGTTAATTGGGAAATTGGTTGAAAAATCGGACATTACAAATTACAAAGAGAGAATCTAGACGAAAAATTCTTTTATTTTAGCTTTTAATATTAGCTTAAACGTTAGCGTAATCAGTGAGATTCGAAAGTTCAAGCAAAAAATCTTGTCCATTTGAAGAAAATATCATAAATATATGTATTTATAAGTTAGATTCAAAAAAAAGCGGTCAATATTACTAAATTTATGCAAAAAAAAGTTTGTATATGCACAGTTGGCCTTATCTGATATCGAATTGTTAATGAATCACTGTAAGCAAAATAATCTTCCAAGGATGTGCATATAGGAATCTTTTACCGTGGAGAATAAGGAAAATCATCTTAAAAATCATTAAAATGAAATGAGAAAAGGGTTGATGATCAAAAGAAGTAGCTTTAATATGCTTTATGCAAAAATTCTGATGATTTACAATAAATTATTGCAGATAATCTATAATGAACGATCAACTGATGAAGAAGGATTTGATACTCTAAACGATGATGAAGGGTGGGTGGATACGCATCATTATGCATCGGAACAAGTTTCATCTTCATTGGGTTCGATAGTTGAAGCCAAATTCATGGAAACATCTGAATCTTCAGTTCGCATTTTATTTATTTTTTTATTTTTAACTTAATTATGGCTCTCATTTTTACTTTTTTATTCGGTTTTGAAAAATTTTTTATTTTTATTTACATTGATAAACATTGATGATTTCATCTTTCTTTTCATGTTTAAAATTTATCTAGTTCTAAGTAATTTCCTTCATTCTTAATATCATTTCTAGATCAATGATGATATAAAAATAGGTTCTGATGAAGATAGTGAAAATGTTCCTGCAATGGATATGGATGCTTTTATTCAGGGAGGTGGGCTTGAAGAAGATGATCCGAATAGGTTTCTTTTTTTTCTTGTAAGATGGGGTAACTAGTTTGCTTTTAGTTCTGGTACTATCTTTTAGTCTTTTTAATATGATTTCTTAAAACAACTTTTAATTTATGCATTTGAAAATCAAAAAATAATATCCTTCTTTAATCGGATGCCTACGGCCATTGTTGCAAGGGTAAGATGCATGTTTCTTTTCTCTCTTTTTTTCCCCATCGTCGTATTATTTTATCACCAATTATTTATGCGGATAAAGGATCAGTTCAAAATAAAATCTGATCAGTTTAGCCAATAAAATTTTTTCCATATTTTGGGTATGTGGAGCAGAAAATGAAAAAAGAAAATGATGTAGGAAACGGAGAAAATATTATCAAAACTAGGACTTACGATCTGCATATAACCTATGATAAATATTATCAGGCAAGCCGATTTATTACTTTTTTGGCAATTCTATATAACTTTATTTCACTGAAAACTACCATGTCTTAATAATATTGTAACTCAAATACATATATAAATTAAGTACAATTAAAAATTAAACAAAAAAGATATCCGAAGTCCATATTCATCGACTAGCTGTGGGAGGCAAGGTGGCGCATATTATATGAATATGATTTTTAGAAAGTCAAGGAAGTCGATCTTTTCTGATATTAAAATGTTTACTGATGCAAATTTTAATTGGTTATTTTAATTGGTTTTCAGTTAATCTTAAAAATCATCTCGTCATCAAAGTGAATTTAAATATTTATCCACCGTTATTTGCTTCTAGGTACCGAGATTGTGGCTTGTTGGTTATGATGAAGAAATGATACCTTTATCTGTTGATAAAATGATGGAAGATTTCTCACAAGTATTCCTTTTCATAATGATGTTTTTATGGTAGTAACAATAATATTTTTTTTTGAAATTTTGAAATTTTGATTCCTTTCTGTATAATGTTTGTTTTTTAAAGTTGATGTAGATCGCAAAAATGATGTTTGGCATAGCCTTTTTATCAATTTTTCATTTTTATTTTCAGGATCACGCCAATAAAACAGTGACTATCGAAGCTCACCCGCACTTGCATAGTACACACATGGCCTCTATACATCCTTGTAGACATGCTGATATTATGAAACGTTTAATTGACCAATTCGCCCAATCCGGAAAGGAACTCATTATAGAAGAATATCTCATAATCTTCCTAAAATTTTTACAAGTGCTATTTTCATTTTCAATTTTTTTTTTATTAAGCAAAATTTTACAAGCAGCAATGACCAAATTTATATATATCTGCTACTACAAATTATTACTTTTCGTTTTTCTGTGAGGCAAATCCTGTCATTTTGTAAGTAAGTGAAAATTATTTGGATGAAAATAATAATTAGTTTGTTCTCAAATTAACAATTATCAGCTATCTTTCATTTATTTGGGTAAAGGGCTTGGTAAATTAAAATTTATCGTTTTTAAGAACTATAGCAGAAGATGGTAAAAGACATGCAATTCTACCATTTCGTTTTCAGGCAGTCATCCCAACTATTGAGTACGATTTTACGAGAAGTATAACGATTTGAAATTACCAGTTAATAAAAAAAAACAATGGATTTTATTTTTCTATGTATAGGTATTATAACATTCGACATCAGCAAAATATACAAAATATACAATACAACTCTCAATCAATTCTTAAATTTTCAGCTATTGTTGGTATTATCTTTTATGTTTTTATCTGTTATTTATCTTTTTTCTCTATATTATCTATTTTATCTGGTCTCTTTTCATATTTTACTCTAAATTCGATTTTTAACTTAACATAATTCCAATTTAACTTTTTTTACACATTTTTTCTTATTTTTTTAATGTTTTATATAAAAAAGATTAATTCAAAATTATTAATTTTATCTAACAAGTGATGTATAAAATCCATCAATATTCATTAATTGTATTTCAGATATTGCTGGTGATCATTTTTTTTACCCATTTGTTTAATCAGTTTAATTCTTTTTTTGTTCTTTAGATTAAAAAAATTAACGAAAAGGCGAATAAAGAAAAATGGTTGATTTATTTATTTATTGAAAACCTGCCAAGCAAGGCGCAAATGCCATGTGCTTGTATTAATAACAACAGTTAAAATAACAAATAATAAGAATTAAAAACAAAAAATAATAATGCAAAAATAAAATAAACAATTTAAAGAGGAAATAAGAAGAGAAAATTATACAAAATAATATAACATGATACAATGCGGATGGTAAAAATCGAGATTTCACACTTCCTGCATGATGTGAACTTTTTAAATATTATAAATGATATTTTTTAAAGATATATAGTGATGGCGCACAAGCTATATCGTTCGGTAGTTTATTCCAGTAATTAATATTACGAATAATGAAATCATGAGTCCTTAGTTTAGTTTTACACATAGGTTTTACTGATTTTAGCCCATTAGTTCTTGTTGGATTTAAATTTAACCTAAAATTATAATGTTTTGAACAATATAGTTTAACATAATCATACAAAATCTTATAAGTATAAATTAAATCTTGTTTAATAAGATGAACTGACAGAGAATCCAGGTTATACTGTAGAAGTTTCCTTTTATAATTAAAATTGCAATTAGGAGAGAGGAGCAGTATAAAATATTTTTGGAGTCTTTCAATTATTTTACTTGATTTGCAATATCTCGTGCAGTAATCATGTAGCACTGTAGTCAAGAAGTGGCTAAACACGAACGGTTTGTACATTTTGATAAGGAAATTTTCAGTTTTCTTCTTAAAGGAACGAAAATAAAATTTAGTTGTTAATTATAAATTTATCTTTAAATGGTAAACATATGCATTTGAAAAACTGAAACAGGAACCTTCTGCGTTTTAAAGAACTTATTATTGCATATATTCTTCTTCTTCTTCTTCTAACAGCTCTTACCATTACTAGTTAGGCTGGTTCCAACGGCTACAAGGGTAAGACGCTTCCAAGCGGCGCGGTCTGATGCCATCGTCGACAGTAATGGAAGCCATTCCTTTTCACATCGTCTAAGTCCATATATTGCTGGTCCTATACGTTCAAAATCTTTTCTCACCGTATCAGTCCAGGTCTTGATTGGCCCACCTCGCTTTTGACGCCAACCGTCACACGGTTTAGCAAATAACGAAATATGCGTCAACTCGTGTGGCGGACGACGGAGAATGTGCCCTAACCAGCGAAGGCGGCGCTCTGTGATAACATTATTTATGCAAGTGGTATTTGAATGAAGGTGGATGCAATCTTGTGAGATTTTATCCACTCGGCAAACCCGTAAAAAAATATATACTATAAATATTTAAATATATATATTATATTAAATATATATATATATATATATATATATACCCGTATATATTGCATATATTTGATCGAATAAATTGGCTTTGCTTTCAAGATGAATTTTTAAACTTCAAATCAGTTTCGCGAGTTTTCAAAAAGCGCAATCTTATTTATTATTCTTTGAAGTCATAGTTGCCATGATATTGTGTTTTGATCAAAGTGTCCTTTCAAGTATCTGTTTCAGCCTTTTCCTCCAACAGAATTGAACCCATAATTTAAAAAGTTGGATTTAACATAGGTGAATCAGAATAATATTATTATAAATGAATAAGTTTTGTCGATACGTTTGTTTATTTGTATATTTTTGCACATTTTTTGAGGCCTCGAAAGTGTTTCAAAATTCTCCAAATCAATAGATTAGTCAATTGGGGTGATTTTTTTGCTGACGACGCTCACTATGGTTAGAGTATTTTATTGGATTTAACATAGGTGAATCAGAATAATATTATTATAAATGAATAAGTTTTGTCGATACGTTTGTTTATTTGTATATTTTTGCACATTTTTTGAGGCCTCGAAAGTGTTTCAAAATTCTCCAAATCAATAGATTAGTCAATTGGGGTGATTTTTTTGCTGACGACGCTCACTATGGTTAGAGTATTTTATTATTATTGGCGAGTACGAGTACAATTTTGACGTTAAATCCGTAAAGATTACATGTTCTCTGCATTGAGCAGATTATTCAGTCGATCGTAATGAGCTAGCGAATGACTTGAAGTATTTGGCAAACAACTGAATAACAAAATAATAAATAGGCTGATTCGCCTATATGAACAACGTTAGTCGGATTGTTTTCATCATTTGATAAATTTTCTTACCATAAATAGCAGAAATATTTCATAAATATCAACAAGCAATGGTGAATTCGAAAAACCGGTTTGAATGTTATTCTTTGAAATTCTTTTAAGAAATATTTCGAGACGTTTAAAAGCAAATAAAATGCTTATTTTAAATTTTAATAAAATTGTTTTCCATTTAGAAATTTAATTTATCGATAAATTTGCAAAATTTATTACATTTACAAACGTACATTTGGGAAATATCTCATAAAAATTTTCGTTAAAAGAATTGTAAGGATCGTACAAAGAGAGAAAGAGGCATGAAACAAAGTACCTTGTAAAAACGAAAAGTGATAGAAAAGTGAAACTGTCTGCATTGGCCAGAAAATCCAAGCACGATTCATGCAACATCGTGTGGTGAGAACTGTCTATTTATCTATCAATTACAGGTATATCACAGATATCACAATACACCATTTTTCAAGGTTAATCATTTACAACATTTTTTGCAATAGCATACTCTAGTAAAAAAGTGCAATCGATTTATGAAATGACAATCTAAAATAGCAGCTCGAAAAATTGGATGCAAATTTTTCATATGCCCAAGTAAATTGGTAAGGGTGAAGAGCAACATCACTAAACTGCTCAAGTTTAATAACTGACTTTAAGTTTAATAACTGACTGAGTCATGTATTTAAAAAGATCTATTGATCTTCAATCAATGAACTGAACTACTACTTCCACACAAACAGTAATGTTTTAAGGATGATATCCTAAAGAATATATAAAATCGATATAATTTCGCCAAAAACCAAAAAATTCTGATTTCAGCGATGTTGACAAGACTTCATTTTCTTAATAAAATAAATTCAGTTCCCTTGGCATCATTACAAATGGCAAAGTTCAAAAAATAAGATCCAAGATAATTTTAGAAATTAACAGATTTTTCTGCTGATGCTTTTATGTTATCAAACGAATGAAAGCATTATCAGAAAGCATTATCACTATTTTATTCACCAAAAATACTTAATATTAAAGTATTTGGCATTGTTTATTAAATTTTCAATGTTTCAGTCGAAATATTAAGTGTTACAAAATGATTATTCACGTCTGTGCATGAATTTTGTTGATGTTTATATGTGCTAATAAAAGATAAAAATCCGGTTTCGTCCATGGTAGCCATATAAAAGGATGTCAATTAGCGGTCAACTCGATAATCGACCGAATGGATCTCGACACTCGTATCAAGGCCTATAGATTTGTCGCCTATTCAGCGGTAACCTTTTCGGTGGTTTCAGTCCTATCAGTTTGTGTCACTCTGCCGATGGTTTATAATCATGTACATCACATTCGCAGACAAATGCATAACGAAGTTACTTACTGCAAGGTATTCTTTAATTTAATGTGAAATTCCGCTAGGTTTTAAGTTAACGCAAATTAGATTTAATTTTATGTTTAAAGCAGCGTCCTTAACCTTTATTAATGACCCTGCGAATGTAGTGCAATGTAAGCTTGGAAATCGAGCGAGAGAACCGTGTTGTTGGGAAGAAACAATCTTCTATGCAATATTTAATATTTAATTTGAAAAGTATTTCAGTTTAAATTAATGGTTTATTTAAGGGATCAGCTAAAGATATTTGGTCTGAAGTACATCAGCTGAAAAACGTTCCTCCTCGTAACAATCGTACAGCTCGTCAAGCAGGATATGGTGAAGATGCTGGTGTTACGGGCGGAATAACTTCTCGAGGAGGCTGTGATGGTTGTTGCTTGCCAGGTCCGGCAGGACCACAGGGCGCACCTGGTAAACCAGGCAGACCTGGCAAACCAGGTGCACCAGGTCGTCCAGGGAACCCAGGCAGATCTTCACAGCAACCTTGTGAACAACCCAGCCCGCCTCCATGCAGACCGTGTCCTGCCGGGCCACCTGGTCCACCAGGACCTGCCGGCCCAATGGGAGACCCGGGAGCACCAGGAAGACCCGGAAGCGACGGACAAAGTGGTCCACCCGGCCCACCAGGACCGAAGGGCGCACCAGGAGCACCGGGACCAGCTGGACCAGTTGGACCAGTTGGAGATCCAGGGGCAAATGCTGCTGGTGGTCCAGTTAGCCCAGGACCTCCAGGACCACCCGGTAAGCAATTTTCTTTTTTTTATATTTTTCTTTATTGAATATTTAAATCAAATTGAATTCAAATAAATAAATAAATAATAAAAATTAAAACTTACAGGTGATCAAGGACCACCAGGACCTCCAGGGCCGCCAGGGCAACCTGGATCTGACGGAGTGCCAGGACCAGCTGGGCCAAAAGGACCTCCCGGACCTGATGGAGCGCCAGGTCCTGATGGGCAGCCCGGCAGACCAGGAGCCCCAGGAAATAGAGGAACTTCAGGAGAAAGAGGCATATGTCCAAAATATTGTGCTATTGACGGTGGCGTTTTCTTTGAGGATGGAACTCGTCGTTAAGCATTTATCTGTCCATCTGTTATTGATAATGAATTTCTTCCCATTTACTTCCGATTTCAATAAGATTTGAATAAATATTACAAATTGCTTAATCAGTCAAAAATCAACTTCTATCCATCCTTGTTCCTTATAATTAAGATCATTCACGATTTTATAGGAATTATAGGAAACTCGAGTTTAGGCGGACCAGAAATTGAAAACTAAAGGACTTTTTCTTGCCTGATGAGCGGCACCATACGTGCAGCTTCTAAACATATCTTACCTTATCCGACTATTAATAATTTCACTCTGAGTGTGTGGATTCCTTAATAATATTAGACAAGTAAATTCTGCATACAGTGGAATATAACGAATCGTTGCACGGCTTTCATTACTTTTATATTGATCATAATGCTAACAAAGCATAAATAATTTTGCAAGGAATTCAAAAACATATACAAATATAAGAATTTTTAAAATTATTATAGACAAGGCAAATCAGCATTAATAAGAATTCTTAATTCCGTGAAATTCAAATGTTAAAAATATCTGTGAAACTAAGTTAAAACGAATTTTTATGGACAATAAACGATTATAAATATGCAATAATTGAATAAAATACGGAAAGAAATTAATAAAATATTGAGTGATCGAAAAATTAAATCATGCATACACTATTAAAAAAATTATTGAAGTTATCAGGATTGGAATAAAATCGTTGAATATTACTGATGAAAATGTTGAAATTTGCAAGAAATCTTTTCCATTTCAGTAGACAAGATAATGTAATATTAAAGTAAGATCTCTTCTCACGTCCTGTAGGTTTTCCTCAATTTAGGGTCATCCAAAAACGATCCAAAACTTCGCCAGTTTTACGCGCGAAAGAGGAAGATTCTCTCATCCTCTGTGGATATGACATCTTAATATCTGGTCCGCTCTCATAGAGGGTACAAAAGGCCAAGGGACTGATTCTATTCGGATAAGCCTCCAGATAGCCTCGCCCAATGGTCCTTACCGGAAAAATCGGATGCGATCCGAACCGTTGCCCATATGAATCGCCCACCTTAACCACTATGCTACTTCTGCTGCGTGCATTTGTATAAATAATTCTCAGTTGCTCAACTTTTTCAACAAATTAGTAGTGTATAATATAATTAGAGTAGAGGCAATTAATGAGAGGAGAATGGCAAATATATTAGAAAATATCTTCAATCCTTCAATATTCGAAACTAATTAGTATTTACTCAAATAAATAAAGAGGAATGCGGGAAAAAAATTGCTTGGAGGGACAGCACCGCCAATAAAGAAAATTTTTCGGCAAAACACAAGCGAGTAAAAAATTGGAAATTCGGATAAAATTTCTATTTCTCATTATAAAACACAATAGAAATTAAACAGTTTATTATAACTCTTATCAATTTTCGTCCTTATTTTGTTTTCATCGAAAAGCTCCACATTCATTTTTCTCCAATAATTCCCCTCTTATATCGGATTTTTTTCCTAATAGTATCGATCAAAATTACATGATTTAACTGCTGAAGGCCAGAATAGCCGCAATTATCAAATTCGCGCCGAACTGCCGTGATGTACCATTTCTCTGATTCTTCTTGCCACCTGAAATTATGGGGAGAGCATCGCATTAAATTCCGATTTTTTTCACTTCATTTCACCTGCTTCGTTCAACAATAAAAAGAAAAATAATACTTGGCTCATTCATAATTGCTTACTTACTAAATTTTTTTGGTAAGCAAATGTTTTAATTTTTCATTTTAAAAGTATTTAGCACGAAACACATTTACACTGGCAAACCTTTCCATTTGAATAATGCAAAATAGAATAAAAACGGTAATTTGAGCATTTTCCAACGATTTATTATTTTACGGTTTATTCCATTATTTAACTAAAAAATAAAATAAAAAACGACACAGGAAGCAAGCCCCGCACTTCACCTCCTCCATCAACAACCTTACTGTTATTTGATCTGACCAGTGTGTTTCGCCGACATTCCACCTCGTACATCTAACAAAAGACTGCACTGAACGAAAAAATCCCAGAAGCTGCTTCACCTGATTTCGCGGTCGCTACTGAATAATTTGAAACAATTTCTGTTCCGTTATTCAGTATTTGTTCTACGAAATTATCGCGATCAGCCATTAATACTGTCGAGGTTTGATTTAATGTAATTTCTGTCTTCGAAATTTGATTGTCCAATTTCTAAATTTAAATTTTTAATTTAAAATCAAAATTAACGAAAATTATAGAAAGTTCGAGTTTTTGCCACTTTTCTGAAGATCAGAGGCAATTATTTACATAATTTATAGATTTTTTCAGTATTATAAATATGTTTTTTAGATAATTTTCGCATTTCGATATAAATGCCCGTAAAATGAAAATTTAATCACCAGTGTAGCCGATAAAAAGAAAACTGCAATGGCATGGAAATAATTATTTTTGCACTGAAAATTTAAAGAATTAAAGTTTTCAAAAAAAAATAAAGTACCGTTGAAATGCTTATTATAAAGCAGAAGAGAAGTAGAAAACTGTAAAAAATTAACGAATTCATCGAAGATTCTGAAAAATTCTTTGAATACATAGAATCAATGAAAACTGATGAATCTAAGCCGCGAAATGTCGTAAACAATGAACGAAGTGGCTCAAACATTAATAGAATTTATAGGTATCCTTCTAGATTCAGAAATTTTATTTATAATTATTTGATTTTTGATTACTTATTGAAAATAAAATTTTTTCATATCGATAATTTTTTTTACGAACATCCATTCGAAATCCAATGAGAACTGAATCGTCAGCATCATACGGATTTTCAAGCGATATTTTTATTTTGGCCGAGAGTAGAACCCCAGCATCACGAAATAAGAGAAGTAACCCACTGAGCCATTCCAATCTCCTTTGCTTTGGCCAGTAATAATTCAGTTCGATGGAACGTGCTGCGCCAGCCTAACTCGAACTGAGATATTCGACACAACTTTGATGACTATCTTTGCAATATAGCATGGGAAAAACCGTTTGCATATAAAGAAAAAATTGTGGTAAGGAGAGGGCACAACCCTCTGTGGGTAGTATGGGTTAACCTCAAGTCCTCCTAGTTGTTCCTAGCGCTGCACTTCTTGGATAGAGATTTCTGATGCTATTCCTGGAATCTGTGCCATCTTTGATTGAGGCCACCTTTAATTTACGAATCACAGCTCCCTTAGAGCTTCTATCACTAATGTAACTTCTTTAGCCTTCATTTTCCGCATATTTTCTAGTTCCTTGGGGTCCTTGCTGTTTTTTAGCTTCTTTTATTTTTTATTTATATTCCTATCGATTCTATTAAATGTATTATCAGTGCTGATTTCTAACTCTTGTATACTACATGATATTTGGTTAATTGGCTAATACTTAATTGTCTGGATGGGGAAATCCCACAGGATCTTGGCCTTATTGTCCACGACTCTGGAGAATCCTCTCATCTGATCTTGTGAGGATCTAAGCCATAGATATTCCTGAGAGCAGATATTCCTGTAGGCAATGCTTGATTTTGCCTTCCACTTCCAGTGTATACTGCATCTAATATCCTATCACTATGTTGAGGTTTTTTGTACCTTCATTCCTGCTTGATATCACTGTTTCTGGTGCTTCTTCTTGTGCTGCTATGGTCAATAACTACCTATTGATGGCACATCTCATGGATAGATTTTGTCATGGCACCTCCTCTCTTTGGTCTTTCTCCATTCTCTGTTGATCTTTCAAGCATTTTCTCAGAAACTCATTCTTTGGTACTAAATTGCTGATATATTGCTGAATTCTTCGAGTTTCGTTGAAGTTAATGATGCCCCATCAGCTTTTTTTCCAGCTAGTGCTAGGTTTCTTTGGATGTTAAACTTGGAGTGGAAATTTCCATGTATTATGAGGAATTTCTAGGTTTTCACATCAATAGCTTCCATTCTTCTTTGTAGATCATACTATGTTATTTGTGTATCTGATGACTGACAGGACATACACGTTTGTGACTTGGATTTTCCTATTGAGTTGGCTTTAAGATCTACCTTTTTCTTTGATATTATTTGAATGGTGTTGTCTTATTTGCCTCTTTATCTTGGGCCCTGTTTGACTACGTGATGCCAGGGTATTATAACTGGCTTGCAGTCTGGTTCGGTGGTAGTTCCATTCCTTTGGTCCTAATCACTTCTCTCACCATCATCCTGCCACACTTCTCCAGTCTGAATGACATTCTAATCTCACTGAAATCGTATTAGATGAACGAGTTAATGCCTCATTCATATTATTAGCATATAGCTTGATGTCATCCATGTAGAGAAGATTAGTTTCATTCCTTAACTTGCATCCTGAATTTTCACTTGTGATTATCTTACTGGAAAAGCTTTAGACCTATGCAGAATATTAGCGAAAACAAATCACCTTCATATATACCGCAGCCACTTATGGAGATTATTTTGAATTGATTTCAAGTATCGTTTTCCACAGTACTATTATTACTATTGAGTTCTCGATGGTTTTCAGATCCTGTAGACTTTACATAGAGTCAGGCAATCAAGATCTATATGTATGGATAATGAGTATCATAAGCTTTCCTACAGTCATTCCAAGTTGATCTTTCGAAATCTTGGATCTTGAGCGACCGTTTTATTTATGAAAAACAGAATAATTTTTTTTTTTTGAGCTTTTAGTCTTTTTCCCAGTGTCTTGTGATTACTTATATACTGGCTCATATAGTCTTGTAGCTTGGCTGCAATAATGTTTGATGGCACTTTCCACGTTATGAGAAGGCAAGTTATTGGATCCTATTAATAGTTTGTATTCCCTTACTTCATGATCAACACCATCCTTCTCTGTTAAGGAGCATAATGCCAACCCAACCATATCCAGACAGTATTCTTTTAGTAGCTGGATAGCACCTTTAATCTCCACATTCTTCTGTACTTCTAACAGCTCTCACTTTACTGGTTAAGCTGGCGCAGCTCCCTACAAGGATAAGACGTCTCCAAGATCCTATGCCATCGCTAGTAATAATAGAAACCATTCTTATTTCCATCGCCTAAGTCCATGTAACGCTGTTTCTCCTATTCATCCGAAATCTTTTCTGACTGTATCAATCCAGGTCTTGATTGATCCTCCTCAGTTTTGACGCCAACCATCATAAGATTCGACAAGTAGCAAAATATGCGTCATTTCCTGCGGTGTAAAACGTGCCCTAACCCGAG